ATTGCTCGTCGAGGTCCAGTTAAAGAAATCCACTGTGACAACGGAACAAAAGCAGTGCCAGGGAACATCGTCAAGCAATAGATGACTTGGATCAGTCAAAGTTACATTCTCACCTGCTTCAGCAAGACATTAGATGGAACTTCAATCCACCCTCGGCAAGTCATATAGGTGGAGTGTGGGAAAGGCTGATCAGACCTGTCTGCACTGTCCTGAATCCTTTACTTCATGAGTTTAGTCAGCAACTGGATGATGAAATGTACAGAACCTTCCTATGTGAGGTAGAAGCAATTTTGAATTCAAGACCTCTTACTCCAGTTTCTAGTGACCCTGACGATCTTGATCCACTCACGCCAAATCACCTACTCGTGATGAAATCAAAAATCTTTATTCCCCCACCTGGCGAATTTCAGCTAAACGGTGATTATGCACGTCAACGCTGGAGACGCATTCAACATCTGGCAAATGTCTTCTGGTCACGTTGGAAAAGAGAATATCTTGTAACACTACAACAACGTCAAAAATGGACTACTCCAAACCGCAATTTCCAATTGAATGATATCGTGCTCATAAAAGATGATACACTTCCCCGAAGCACTTGGTCTATGGGTCGTGTGACCGGAAGTGAGGCTGATGAAAGCGGATATGTCAGGAGTGTCATATTGAAAACAAAAGACTCTGAACTGCGAAGACCTATTCACAAACTCGTTTTACTAATTCCCTCAAACAATTGATTAAAATGTATGTTTGACGTCTTGTTAATAACAGTATCAACTTGCATTTTTGTAGGTCTGTTTTTTGCTGTTAAACACACCGTGAGTATGTTTAAGAGGCCGAGTGTGTAGATGCAAGATTTTTTCATGTTTCAAAGTATGAACTGTTTGTGAAATGACATGAAAACAAGTTAAATTTGTTACAATTCATTTAACTTATTATCCATGGTGGTCCAATGATTAAGACACTTTATTATTACTCTAACGTTCTAAAGTTCAATTTCCACGTAATATTTATCAATTCTAAGATACGTGTATACAATGTTTACATGTTCTCAGTAACTTTCCACAACCTCGTGACCTTAACCTTCATGTGCAGTGTGAAACCTCACAGGTCATGTTGCGACCTCTTCAAAGCTCATACATTTTGAGCAAAATTGTTTAGATTTTTCACACAACTGTTACATTATATTTGCAAATCTGTGCTTGGTAATTTTGCATAAATTCAATGTAGTCAATGTATTTATTGCTTCATTTGGATGTAATTTCGAATGTGTTAAATACTAGGAAAATTGGTTAATGTTTCTGAATTTACAGAAAGCTATTGTTTATTGTAGTTTTCTGAACCTCATCAACTTGTCGACGCTTCAAGTTGTCACCAACTCGTCACCAACTTGTCATCAACTGTCACCAATTGTTCCTAAAGCCATGGCTCTAATTATAAACTGTACTACGTTAAACGTCACCAAATAAACCTTGTTGATGCGAGTGTTAGTTTTGTCGTCTTGCATCCACAGGGACAACCCAATAGACACAAACAACGTCAAATTAAAGACGTCCTCAAGTTGCCAATGCATGTTCGAATCTCCATAAATGACGTCATGATCGAACAATGTTTTATCGTGAAATTGATATCGCTTCCTTCTTCTTTGTTCTTTTCGATTTATAGCGTAGCTCTCTTATATCATCAAATGTAAATTTCTCATTGCTTCATCATGACGTATCCGTGTCATAACCAATCATGTAGCAATAGCATACACAAATATAGTTGATTTCGACATAGAATAGTGTCATGATATATAATTATCCTTTGGTGTGCAATATTTCTGATTGATAAATCTAACATATGCTTACTTATAAGAATAGCGACTTTACATTTTTATATCACTTTATCAGGTCCCTGTAACATTTGCAAAATAAAACAAATTTAATAATACAACTGAACCTAAATGTATGTATGTTGTAATATCCTTAAGTTGCTGAGTGCGGCATTAGACAATAAACAAAACATAATATCTTTAATAATTATATTAACAATGCTGATGCTAAAAAATAATCTCCACAATATCCATACCTCTTTCTCTATGTTTAATATGAAAACATAATAACTCTTTTTAATAATCTGAAGGAATACTAATGACAATAATATCATAATAATATCATCATGTTCTCAACTGAAGTAGTCCTCAACACTACTTCATTCAGTGAAGAAACCCATGAACATATTATCTATGTAACATACATCAATGGAAATTAGATGAACAGTTGAAGTAAATTGTGAGTCTACAATGATTTTTGCAAGGCTGCTCTCATAAATGTCATGACGCTACGTATTCACAACATATTGTGCTGGGCACAGTATAACTCATGATTCTGGACTGAGGGAGGGCCGTATTCCTCCTTGTGGGTCACCTGCTTGGTAATATGGGACGGGACAACTGCAGGGGGTGAGGGCAGTTAAGTTGAAACAGACAGATAACAAAGATCATTTTACAAATGTGAAACCCCATTCCACAAAGAAAGAGGCGTAAGCTGAAACTTGGTGTTTCTAACTGACTCTCGGGGATACATTTAATATAACAAATTTTGTGTGTGTGTGTATGTGTGTATGTGTGTGGTAGTGTGTGTGTGTGTGTGTGTGTGTTGGAGAATGATGAAAACCAACACTGCCATCTGCAGAGCCTTGGTGAGCAATGGCACAGTGATTTATGAGAGTTTGTGCGTGAGTCGGATTTTACGCCGCCATAGCAATATTCCGGCAATATCACGGCGGGGGATTCCCACTTGTGCCTTTGATATGCAGAGAATCGAACCTGGACTTTCGGCACGAGGAGCGAACGCTTTTACCACTAGGCAACGCCAGCGGCCTTGATCATAAGATCAACGATATGTGTTTCCATTTTTCAAATGTTATAGTTTGCAATCACAGATAATGTTTATCACCACTGTAAAATGCAAGGATACCAGCATATCATCACCATTACCATCATCATCATCGTCGTCGTCGTCACCATCATTATCATCACCACCACCACCACCAGCAGCATCGCTACCGGTATCGTAATCACAGGTATATACGGTACTCCACACAGAGATTAACGAGGGGCATCTATTTGATCAGGGGTTATTTAAATATCCACAATAGCTGTGTGTCAGTATATCCAGTTTCTGTCAGTGCAGAAAAATACCAAGTCGGTCAGCTGTGAACACGGTTCTTCACCATTGGGTATCAGCTGATTTTCTTACGTCCTTGACACACAAAGACTTCTTGACATGATGTAACTTACAGGTAGAGGGGATAGTCGGATTGCAGACACGAGGTGGATGTCGTCCAAAGAGTGCTACGAACTACCAGAAACCGTTTCATAGATCATACTTTCTGTCTAGGAAACTATTCATTACTGCTGTACAGTATCAAATATATTGGAACAGTAAAAGAAAATAACGACACCAATTCTCAAACTGTTTAAAATTATATTCCCAGGATATATATACACATCCGGGCAATTGAAAATGCCTGCCCTTCTAATGTCAATCCTGTGCACTGTGAAATTGCGACCCCCGTGTTCCTTAAGACGTCATGTGCACGTCACCTGTTGTGAGATACGCATTGATATGATGCATGTAGTATCGCCTAAGATACCCGAAGCAAATATATCTCCATCGAATAACAATTTCTTGTTTGTTTCATTTTTTACCACCAATTAATTACAAATTGCACAATGAGGTGAGGTGAAATGGGGTTTAACGTCGCGTCCACGATTATTGCACTTTTATAGCGATGTGCATGCACGTGTGTGACGTGTGTGCGTGCGCGCGCGCGCGCGTGCGTGCGTGCGTGCGTGCATGCGTGCGTGCGTGCGTGCGTGCGTGCGTGCGTGTGTGTGTGTGTGTGTGTGTGTGTGTGTGTGTGTGTGTGGTGTGTGTGTGGTGTGGGGGGGGGAGGGGAGGGGGGGGGGTGAGTGTGAGTGTGTGTGTACATGTAGGTCTATTGGATATTGCATAAAACACTCATTTTGAGCGGGATGATAGTTCGAGTTGGATAAACACGTTAACTATGATATTCTTAAGGTAGAGAATGCCGCGCATGAATGTATTAATGGGATTCCCAGGTACATGGGGCCTTTTCGGCAGAATATCCACACAGAAGAGACTTTAATGGGGATCGTGTGAACATAATGTGATACCTGGTAGATTGTGTGTCATCAAACTGGACAACTTTGGTCTTTGACGGATTGTGGCGTAAAACACACTTATTCATTTACTTGTATCGGAAATTGAATGTTCACCTTAATTGTTATTGATGAACACGTAATATATTTTTAATAAATAAATGTAAATAAACGTTATAAATGTCATACGATTTCACTTGTCTACCATCTTGGATGCAAGGCGAAAACATTTCAGCGCGTTTGAAGCTTCTGAGAATGCCCCCTGCAGTGTTGGACGAACATTCTGTGGTAGCGCGGCGGTGTTGACCAGAGCCTGTCAGCATTTTTTCCTGTCCAGGTTAATTAGGTCTCTGTGTGTGTGTGTGTGTGTGTGTGTGTGTGTGTGTGTGTGTGTGTGTGTGTGTGTGTGTGTGTGTGTGTGTGTGTGTGTGTGTGTGTGTGTGTGTGTTCGTTCGTGTGTTTGTGCGTGTGTGCGTGCGTGCGCGTATGTGTGTGTATGTGTGTGTGTGTTTTTTTTTTGGGGGGGGGGGGTGAGAGTGTGGGGATAGATGATGGATTTAACAACAAGTAAGGTCATCTTGAGCGGGACGGTTTTCGTAGATGGATTAGCATATGAACTATAATTCTCTTTAGGTAGAAACTAAAGATCTACGATGTTCGACCTGGTAGAAGTGTGTAATCAAACCGCACAGCATTGGTCTTTGAATGACTGTAGCGCCAAACAAACTCATTCATGTACTTGATCTGAATGTTCATCTTAATTGTTATGGATAGTCACGGAGCCGTGATCCAGAGAACAGGGTGTCATTAGATAAAAATGAAGTAATAATAGGATTACCAGAACTTATGCTGGTCTACAGGTGGGGATTCCTCCCAGACAAAGAGATCACCCCCTCCTGCTCCTCCCAGACACAGAGATCACCCCTCCTGCTCCTCGTGCTATTCCTGGCCTGGGATAGATAAGCACGTTATATAGCAACTGTGTATATATTCAAGGCCTGGGATTGATAAGCACGTTATATAGCAACTGTGTATATATTCAATGCCTGGGATTGATAAGCACGTTATATAGCAACTGTGTATATATTCCTGGCCTGGGATTGATAAGGATATTATATAGCAACTGTATATATATTCATTGCCTGGGATTGATCAGCACGTTATATAGCAACTGTGTATATATTCAATGCCTGGGATTGATAAGCACGTTATATAGCAACTGTGTATATATTCCTGGCCTGGGATTGATAAGCACGTTATATAGCAACTGTGTATATATTCAAGGCCTGGGATTGATAAGCACGTTATATAGCAACTGTGTATATATTCCTGGCCTGGGATTGATAAGCACGTTATATAGCAACTGTGTATAAATCCCTTGCCTGGGATTCATAAGCACGTTATATAGCAACTGTGTATATATACCAGGCCTTTGTTGAGAAATACTTTCTTGCTTGTCATTGTATGTAATAAGAAAGATTATAAGAAATAATTTGTATGATCGTAGATACTATTTAAAAACATACCTTATTATTATCTTACTTTCAAGTAGTTAATGTAGTACACAACAGTCAAAACGCGACTGAATGGTTCAACAATAAAGTGGTCTCTGCCTTGACCCAACGAGATTCAACAAATAATTTATATCTGCCTCATGACTTCACATAGAATTATGAAAAAAAGATGAATTCTACAATGTTACCAACAATACTTATAAAAAAAAATTTTACCTTGAGATGTTAGAAAGAAGTGCTATTGAGACTCGGTCTTCAACCGTTAAGAAATGTCAAAAGGAAATGACACAGCCTCAAGATCTGTATCTTTATATAGCCTGTAGTAGGGTCAGTTCAAACCGGTTACAAAACGCAATGATTCAAATATAACTCTTCTGCAGTTTCAAACGATTCAAACACATCTTGCAATCATATATGGCCATTTTGTGATAGCAGCTTATGCAAACAAAGGTCTCAGTGGTGAAGCGTAAAGGCTATCCCCTTATCCATACTTATAAGGTCACCAGCCACAAGTCTTTAACAAGGCTGAAATAACTGTTTCATGTTTATTAAAAAGTTTAGATTTAAGTTCATACAAAATATCTTGCTACCGAAGTGATTATTTGTAATTGTTTTTTTATAGTAAGGTCGTATATAACTTTTTGTGTCTGACGAGAGTACACCAACACATGACATAGTGGACATGCCCGGAACATGTTATAAGTGTTTGTATATGGTTAAGTCATTCAGAATCATGTGTTGACACAGCCGATAGACGACTGGCTCGATTACCTGATTTGACGCGCTCAACATTGATCTATTTGTAACACAGGCTACCCCGACATTGTCCCTCGATCGCGAACGCTGGCGAGCTATTTTTAGCGTTGAACCTGGGCACCTGGGGCAGAACACCCCTTTCCCTATCATCAGTATACGACTTGTTGGTTGTTTGTTGGTTTCACACTAGGTTATTTTACATACAGATTTCGGGGTAGACATTTGGGAATCGACACGTAACACTATGTAGAAAGACAAAACGTGTTGGTTAATTCAATATTTGTTGTCTCTTTTAGGGACACAAAATCGCAGACTCATGCTTTCAAACATGCATTTCGGCTGTTTCCGATATTACACGATCGATTTATGATTTCCGGCTTGACCGTAGCAAAACAAAAATAGGAGATCTGCAACATTAGTCAAATGCTAATACTAATAGCATGTCACGGGGTCAAATGTAATTTATGATTGAACACATGTCCTCATACGTTTTAAGTTATCGACATTACACAATTTTTAATTGTTTTTTACAACGTCAAATACCAAGTGATCTTGAAACAAACAAAATTACGTTAGATGTGAGAGACACACTAAGTACGATCCAATGATATGGTTTACACATCTTATAACATAGGCACATTGTTTTCTCGGAACCCATACGTGAATAACGAGTGCATTAGTCACCTCGTCCATTCCTCTGCCTATGTCACAAGTCCACATAGTCAAAATAACACAATGATCTTACCTACTGGCGATGATAAACTGTTGTATGCTGAAATATGTTTCACACTGCTGTCATTCTTTACAACAAAATGGCCGCCCTCTCTTTCTTCTCAAAGTTGTATTCACTGAAATCCTACTTTCTCTTTGCCTGTGATATTTATATATACCCGTAATACAGCCTCTGACGTGGAACAAGGGTAACAGTGCAGGTATGTGCCCACATATATCAAATCCAGGTAACAATACCCCTAGTTCGCTCCAACACTTGAGTGGACCAATAGATACAGTGAGTGTGCTACACTTTAAGGTCGCTTTATTTCAGCCAAAGAGCCATGTCATAGAAAGTTGGATACAAAGGAAAGTAAAATGGATCATCTATCTATTTGGGAGGAGTTGTGTGTGCGTGCATGCGTGATGTAGGTGTAAGGATACCATAATTAAAACAACGTGATAGAAATTTTAAAAATGAAATGCACTGCCTTGAATTATAAATATTGTAAAAAGAGCCCTTCAGTGTATAATGAACGAATATCACGCAACCATTATGATATGAATATCATGTCTAGGCAGGTTGACATTTATGGGATTGTTTCCCCATTGTTTTAAAAATTGCTTAATTGGCATGTACATTGAAGCAATAATATCCCAAGGTAGCGTAATGCTCTAGGAAACGAGTTTGTTTATATACATCACTGCACATTGTTAAATGTTTCGTCCGTCTTGTTTCATGGAGGTGGTGATCATCAATCTTCTAGCAAACCTCAATGTACGATGACATGGATTCATGCGTCAACCCATTGGATCAATGCCAATACGCTGCTGATAGAGCTTGTTTATCAAAAGCCCTGTAAATGCGTTATGAGGGCAAAGCGTAAAAACCGGTGTGTAAATCCACGTCATATGGCCAATGTAGCGCAAATGACCTCATTTTTAAAGTGAGGTTTTGTCCTACTCAGTTGCTAGTGGCATAGTTGCTTGGTGGCATAGTTTCAGATCTTGGCGATGTACATGTGTTCCTTGGTTGGCTATGGCTAAAAGGTAAAGGTTTCCATGAGTAATGTTTTTCACGTTGATGTGGCCACCGCAAACCTCCCCCTTCAGTGTATTTATACATGTGTATTACGCACACCAAAGATATTTTTTTGCTATTTCTTCAGTGAAGAAAACTACACACAATACACATTAGCCACACATGATGTGTATATGAACTTAAGGCTGTTTGAAACTTTCTTGGAGTTATCTCCCTTTGACCATGCAACTTAAATATTCTCCAAGTCAACGTAAATGAAAGTGTCAAAACCCTTTCAAAAATCATAAAATAATGTCAAATGCAGGAATCAAACCTTTCTGCTAACAAACAGTGAGGACACCAGGTGTTCTCTAAAGGTGCCCGTATCCTGCTCCGTCGGTAGCACTCGTAACCTAAGTTTACTCACTCATACACTCATCACAACCTTCATGCTCAGGTGTTTCAGTCTGTCGTCCTTCACTGACCCGAAGAAGCATCCAGGCAGAACTTTGTGTCAGTCGGCATGTTCTGCTCCACCGGCACAATCCGCCATCCACACAATAGCTTGAATGATTAGTGCGGTGTTAAACAACAAACATAGATGACTAAATGTCCACCCACTTGTTCTCGGGGTCGTACAGCATACACTTGTAAAGCTGAGACTCAAGTGTCCTGCAGTGATCGTCCTCTCCTGACATCGGCCGAACAGTCGCGGGCGTCAGCTTCAAATATTTTACCTGTGTGCCTTTCATTATCTCTCTCTCTCCAACAACATTAAACGACTCATTAAATATATCCTACAAGACGAAGACAACGTTTGATAGCTGATGCCATCGAATATTGTCTCTACTGTGTGGTCAAGTATTCAGACGTTCAGACACTGTAAACATAATCACCTAGGTAACCACGCTTCAAGAACACAATATTAATGTAAAATAAACTTTGCTTCACAGTTGGCAGTTTGGATTTGACACAAAGAAGGTGAGATGTCACTATGGTTTACATTGTTATTGAATTTACTTGTATTCAAATGACTAACTTTTCCCCACTACACAAGTTCACACATTTTATACTATTTGTAAATATACAAAGTCAGCCCAGAGAATAATCAGTCTCGAGGATCTGCCGATATAGTGATGAATATTGCATCGATGGGCCACTGAGAATCAGTGACGACAGCGAAAAGAACAACACACCCACATAAACTCATGGCATGATACCAAGATCATATCCGGTTGTTTTATTGAGGGTGAAGGTTTCCAGACACACCCCATCGTGTCAGCTTGATGTGAGAGGAAAGCACGAAGTGATGCAGGTCTCATACATTTACAACTTTGGTGAAACCATAAGCAGGCTATGGTGCTGACAAACATAAAAGCATAATCGGAGTGAATCTGGGAAACAATTCTTCGCAGCGACCAGGACCACCCGTGTCCCTAACACTAAAGTACTGACCCCATCTCACCTTCTCCTCAACTAGTTGTCCGGCTAACATGTGTGTTTGTTGTCCTAAGTCGATCTGTGACCCATCTGAAATGTTTAAGAAAATGTACTACTTTCGTTGAAGTATATTGGAAAATATTGTTTCAATAATAATAATAATGTACTACACTGCAAACGAAACGTCACCATGGATAGATATATGAGAAACCTTATTTGTCCAAACACTGTAAACATACTTTCAGACACATTAAAAAGATGAAACTTGGCACAACTGATCATCAAGGTTGACATTAATGTGTCAAATGTCCTTAAAGTGAAGCACGACGCTAGTCTCTGGGAAAATGGCATCACAAGTCAGTATCTCTTGTGTCCGCCACATGATGACTGCCGTGCAACGTCGATACATGGAATGAATGAGGCGGTTGATGAAGGCCATAGGCACTTGAGCCCGCACTCTGAGAAACGCCGTTCAGCTGCAGTTGTCGGCCTTGGTTGGACGTCATTCAGCCGTCTTTGAATCTCGTCCCACAGGTGCTCAGTGGGATTTAAATCGGGACTTGATCAATGTACCGACCTGCTGTGAAACCATTGCTGCTCCCTGGACCGTTTTACTGGAAGACCACAGGGCCGACCCTCTGTGCAAGACCAACTACACCCCACACCATCTTGGTCGGAACACCCCACGAGTCTCTCTCAACAACACAGGCATCCGAATAACGTTTCCCACTGGCGTCGCCAGACTCTCTCTGTGCCATCTACTGTTGAGATACAGTAACGGCTCTCGTCTGAGAAGAGGACTCTTCCCCACTGCTGGTGGCGCCAATGCTGGTGCTGTGTTGCCCACTGAAGACGGTCCCGGCGATGACGTGGTGTCAGAATAGGTCCTCGGTGTGGCCTGTGACAGCTGATGTGTCTGCTCGTCAATCGTCGACGCAAGATGTCCGCACTAATGTGTCGCTGGTGTGTCCCCATGGTTTGTCAAGCAGTTTCCGCAGCAGTAACAAAGCGATCTTGTAGATGCTGTTGCACAATCAGACGATCCTGACGTCGGGTGGTGACCCTTGGTCTTCCTCTACGTGGTCGGTCATCTGTAGTGTTGGTGATCTGGTACCGTTGCTGGAGCCTGTATATGGTCCTTACGTGGAATTGAAATGCATTGGCTACTTGCCGGGCGGTGTGTCCAGCTTGCAATCGTCCAAGTGCTTGGTGTCCCTGATTTCTTGTCAATCTTGGCATATGGTAGCACGTGCATCGGGTTACCATGGCTGTTGCCGTGATGCGTTTGGGCGATCGGTTTTATTGTCATTTGCTTTGGGGTTTTTGTCATCAAATTTCATTTTTCCGTACAAGGTAATGTTACATTTTATAAACTTTGACCAAAATTACCCAAATATTTAAATGACAACTTTTCATGCAATGTTACTTGGAGTTACGTTTCTTTTGCGGTTCAGTATAATAATAATCTCAATGTCAGTGGTGATTTTCTTGATGGTTCTGTACTGCTGGACGGTACAGAAAAGAGTGCCATCCAAGCGAAGTGCCCAGATCAAATCGGCCCAAATCAGCAACCCTGCAGAGTCCTCCGCTTGGTTGAAGTCGTCTGGCCTGAAAAGTGAAACAGAAGGCTTTTTGTTTGCTGCTCAGGACCAGTCACTTCCCACTTGAAACCATCAATGTGTGGTTTGGCATCAAAATATGAAAATGAAATGTGAATTTGCAATGAATTTAATGAGACTGTCCAACACATTGTCAGAGGATGCCCTGCTTTGGCACAAACACAGTATCTTAAGCGACATGATAGAGTGGCTAGATAATTTTATTACCGTTTTCGCAATGCTTGTCGTTTTGACACAGAGGTCCATGCATGGTACGACCCAGCATATGTAGAGGGCGTCATGCAAAATGAGAAATACAAAATTCTTTGGAATAGGCCCGTATATAGCCTCAGACGTATCCAGGCTAACAAAACCTGATCTTGTCCTTTTTGATAAATCCAATGATCATTTATATCATTGAATTTTCTGTCCCTTCAGACAGTAATGTGATTCAGGAAAAACATGGCAAATATGCGGACCTCGCTTTCGATATTCTTGCTTGCCTCTGTGACGCCTGTTTACCTCACTTTCCTCTGTCACGCCTGCTTGTCTCTGTGACGCCTGTTTACCTCGCTTTCCTCTGTCACGCCTGCTTGCCTTTGTGACGCCTGTTTACCTCACTTTCCTCTGTCACGCCTGCTTGCCTCTTAGAAGCCTGTTTATCTCACTTTCCTCTGTTGCTTGCCTGCTTTCCTCTGTGACGCCTGTTTACTTCACTTTCCTCTGTCACGCCTGCTTGCCTTTGTGACGCCTGTTTACCTCACTTTCCTCTGTCACGCCTGCTTGCCTCTTAGAAGCCTGTTTATCTCATTTTCCTCTGTTGCTTGCCTGCTTTCCTCTGTCACGCCTGTTTACCTCACTTTCCCCTGTGACGCATGTTTGCCTCACTTTCCCCTGTGACGCATGTTTGCCTCACTTTCCTCTGTGACGCATGTTTGCCTCACTTTCCTCTGTGACGCATGTTTGCCTCACTTTCCTCTGTGACGCATGTTTGCCTCACTTTCCTCTGTGACGCATGTTTGCCTCACTTCCTCTGTGACGCATGTTTGCCTCACTTTTCTCTGGGACGCATGTTTGCCTCACTTTCCTCTGTCACGCCTGCTTGCCTCTTAGACGCCTGTTTATCTCACTTTCTTCTGTGGCTTGCCTTGCTTGCCTCGGTGACGCATGTTTGCCTCACTTTCCTCTTTGACGCATGTTTGCCTCACATTTCTCTGGGACGCATGTTTGCCTCACTTTCCTCTGTCACGCCTGCTTGCCTCTTAGACGCCTGTTTGTCTCACTTTCTTCTGTGGCTTGCCTTGCTTGCCTCTGTGACGCATGTTTATCTCACTTTCCCCTGTGACGCATGTTTGCCTCACTTTCCCCTGTGACGCATGTTCGCCTCACTTTCCTCTGGGACGCATGTTTGCCTCACTTTTCTCTGGGACGCATGTTTGCCTCACTTTCCTCTGTCACGCCTGCTTGCCTCTTAGACGCCTGTTTATCTCACTTTCTTCTGTGGCTTGCCTTGCTTGCCTCGGTGACGCATGTTTGCCTCACTTTCCTCTTGGACGCATGTTTGCCTCACATTTCTCTGGGACGCATGTTTGCCTCACTTTCCTCTGTCACGCCTGCTTGCCTCTTAGACGCCTGTTTGTCTCACTTTCTTCTGTGGCTTGCCTTGCTTGCCTCTGTGACGCATGTTTATCTCACTTTCCCCTGTGACGCATGTTTGCCTCACTTTCCCCTGTGACGCATGTTTGCCTCACTTTCCTCTGTGACGCATGTTTGCCTCACTTTTCTCTGGGACGCATGTTTGCCTCACTTTCCTCTGTCACGCCTGCTTGCCTCTTAGACGCCTGTTTATCTCACTTTCTTCTGTGGCTTGCCTTGCTTGCCTCTGTGACGCATGTTTGCCTCACTTTCCTCTTGGACGCATGTTTGCCTCACTTTCCTCTGTGACGCATGTTTGCCTCACTTTCCTCTGTCACGCATGTTTGCCTCACTTTCCTCTGTGACGCATGTTTGCCTCACTTTCCTCTTTTAAGCCTGTTTGCCTCACTTTCCTCTGTGATTTGCCTGTTTGACTCTGTGACACCTGGAAAAGGTTTTGTAGCTTTTATTTATCAGTTGATATCACGCCGTTTACATTTACTTCCCACGAGAGAGCGTTGCCGCGATCAGGGGCGAAGTCTGTTTTACCGATCGTTGTCCTAAACCTGCGCAAATGTTTGCCGTTGCGTGTATCAATTAGTAGACAGGAACGTTTATATTTGCGGAGCCTTCTACCAAAACGCTTTCTTTCACAAATATACGCTTGTCCCTATGAATTTCGTTTCACTGAAGACTTACATGCTAACGATTGGCTAAATCTTTTTTATTCAACTGAGTCAACAATTTCTGTCATGAGTGTTTGGCCTTACAGAAGTAACAAAATCTGCATAAGCCCAAATTATGTTTTGTTAGGAAGTTAGCTGATCTTCATTTCTTATAATTCACCATTTACCTTATCAACCATAGATGAAGTGGTGGTATCCCACACGCACGTTATACATACACAGATTCCCTTCCACTGAAGAGTCAATGGAGGGAACACCAGGGGAGTCCTCGTTAATGTCGATTACCTCCCTTGGAATACCGTCCACAATTTGTACAGAATCACTTTTTACTGCAACATGTGCATACGTTTCCACACAAACTTACATCACCTTCATGATCTGCGTCATTTGCTAGCGTGGATCGCGTATATCTTCATCTTCATAACGTAACATTTCAACCATAAAGTCCTTAAAAAGAGTACACACACACACACACACACACACACACACACACGCCAAATAGCCCCTCATAAAACGCCAGACCCCCCCCCCCCCCCCCCCTCCCCACCCCTACCACCCACCCACCGAAAAAAAGCGTGAATATTATTAAATGGCCGGCCCTTACGATGAGGGGTACCTTCACGTCTTCCTTTACCTGTGATTGATGAGGAAGAGTGGATGAGGAAGAGTGGATGAGGAAGAGTGGAGATGTTTTACTAGGATCACTGGATTAGAAATAAATGTGAGTCTGTAAATGCACACGTAGGTAAACTTCAGGAAATGACAGTTCTTGTGTCGTGTGGCTGCGTCGTTATATGCACTCACTCACTCACTCACTCATGAGGAGATCGCCTATCATTACACAATGTTCATGTCCCATCTTCCTATTTGCACAAGAACAAACTAATATTTGGATGATATGTTTTTAATCTTTGCTGCTGTAGCTACAGTATTGCTGACTGCAATGTGTGAAGACCATTTCTTGCATCCCGGTCGTGATGTCTCCGGAATATTACTAAAACTGCGTAAAATCATACTAAAAAAACTCACTCACTCATCCTGCTTTTTCTTTAATGTTTGTATTCAATGATGTGCTTATGGTCTCTTTAGTATCTACCCAATGCTCATCTAACTATAGTTTTAATTCACCCCCTGTTGCTGCCCGCTCGTGATATGCCGGTATGAATCAATGAACGAATTTCTTTATTTCCTCCGGAATTAACATCCGAGCAAATGCATGGTGCTAGTACATATATACATATGAAAGTACAAGATTCGATAGCCACAGTAAATACAAATTTTCATTAAATGCTGAACCATATGTATTTTGAAAAAAATATTTCATGCATAGGAGATACTTAGTTCTTTTAAGAACTGGAGGTGCAAAAAACTACAAAAATGTTGGAAGATGGAAAAATGTTGAAAAATGTAAAAGAATCTGTCAGAATTGTAATTTGAATGAGTTAGAGGATGAATTCCACATAATAATGAAATGCCTATGTTAAAATGATTTGAGAAACCTTTTTGTACCAAAGAAATATTTAAGCAAATGCACATCCAAATGTTTTGTTAATTTAATGAATGATTATGATCAAGCTAAAGTAGAAATCTTGTTAAAATTTTGTAAAGCTTCACTTGTAAGGAGATCATGTATATATGTATATGATAAACAGCAATTACGCTTGATGTATATTTTGTATTTCGGTATACTTTGTATACTTTGTATATGGGCCTTAGGCCTCAAGTACAAAAAAGATTGATTGAATATATAGTTATCATCAACAGTATATGTACAAAAGTGAGAACTATTGCGATGTAATTTGGGGATAATCTGGTACATGTTTCAAATTTAAGATATACACATAGAATAGTAATTATATACCATCCCAAGTACGTTGGTTCCAGATTGTGCAAGCATATCATTCTCTTCCAGAAGTTCAGTTTAAACATAACTTTCAACATTCCTTTTGTCTATGCGGGTGAAGAAGAATTCAATTCGAACATTTATTAAATATTCAGTGTAGTAGTACATATTTGTCATAATCATAGGCATGCCTTTCACATTCAGAACATTCTCTTGATGTCATGGGTCTGGAGGCTATCTTAAGAGAGTATTGGATGCAATACCTAAGATCAGGATATGTTAATGCTTCAATGAAGAGTGGACATTTTAAGGTTAATTTTACAAGGAGATAATATCATTATGCCACATATGCTAGTGCTAATTTTGACATTATGAACATTGACTAAGACTAAGCTAAGTATGCACATATAATGTTTCATTGCAGTGTAGCATGAGTTGTACAGAGTCCTCCGAGGAGTAGTAGCCTGCATTTGTCTACGTATCCTGTTAGTGTCCACATTCCTAGATTCGCTATGGCTGAATCAGTTGATGATGTTGGTCTAGACCTTGAATGGCTCTGGCAAAGTGCTGTTGAGAATTCTCTATCTGAATAGTATCTTTACCATGTATGCCGCTTAGCAGCTCACACGCATAGAAGCTGGTAGAGAGAACCATTCGGTTCCATATTTTCACACATACAATAGGGTGGAGATCATAACTATGTAATCCTACAAACGTGAGTGAGCTTACTGTGCGTCCTGTGTTTTGTCAACATCGCACTATCATATTTGTACATGCAAGTTTAGTGTTTAGGATGACTCCCCCATATGTCACACTATCACATGTATCCTTGGTAGGAACGCTACCCAGCTGAAATTTGAATGGATTATGTTTTACCTGCGTAAAACCATACTCCCTCACTCTTTCATATTTTATTCAATGATGTGCCTATGGTCACTATCTATTCCATGCTCATCTAACTGTTGTTTCAATTCACCCGCTGTTGCTGCCAGCTCGTGACATGCCAGTATGTATTTGGATTGATATTGTATTGCTGCTATGCAGCCACAACTGGCCACAATGACTACATTACTAAAATGCCAGTATATATTACATAATTAAACGTTTACTTGGGCACGCACGCCTAGACAGGAGATACATGTAATATTCATTCTGCACTAATACATGCTACACATGTTCCTCCGGTTTTACGCTTGTGTGGACCTTTCTACACCAATGAGGTAAACTTGAGCGTAAGATCTAAATTATTTTAGCCACGAGAGAGAGAGAGAGAGAGAGAGAGAGAGAGATAGAGAGAGAGATAGAGAGAGACGGTGGAGAGAGACACACACAGAGAGACAGACAGAGTATATATTAACAGTTATACTTCGATGTTATTAAAGTTCCTTAGTGTTCTAAAAAATGTTTGTTGCTCTTCTGCAGGAACAGGAAATAACTTTACATCCATCCTTGCCTAAGAAAGTTTGCCATTACTGCATACACAAGTCTTTTCTTTTTCTCAACATACATATATAACTCAGTATGTGTCAGGTTGGAAACACCAGAAGGTCGACCGCTGTAAATGACTGCATGATAATAGGTGATATATTTACAACAATTGTATATCAGGAGGAAACGAGTCATGGCTATGACACTTTGCTAGATTTGTGTTAAAACTAGCAGATGTTACATTCTCCTTCTCCAACTCAGAATCCTGGAAACTCCTCTCCTTTATGCATGTCCATTTCGTACAGATACTGACTAAGAGTGTGATCATCATCAAATGGAGATGCCCCATCGTCTGGAAATTTAAACCTCCCCAAGATGTCGAAGTGCACAATGTAGCAGGGGAGGATGCAGGCATCCTCATAGATGACAATTTCTTTGCCGTACGGGTCAACGTGGGAGTCGTATCCTGGCTCCTTAGGCGCGCCCAATTTCATTTTCTCACATTTGAAGATCTGAAAAATTATGCATGCTTAATAGAACACGTAACAATGAAGAGTTAGTATGTCGCTGTTACATTAACTATGCCGTGACTGCATACCTTCTATGGTTGTTACGAATTTATTCGAATGTATTGGTTTTAAACATTTTCTTGGATTTAAGCATTTATATTTGTTCTCATTTGTTTTGTAGTTACACTATTACATTGATTTTTTATATCTTTAGTTGTTTTCCTTTAACGAACATATCCATATTTGAATCTAACCTTTCCTTGAAGAACTTTGCACAACAACAGCTTGCAAGTCTTTTGCATATAATTCATGGAAAATCTTGGGTATTTACTGAAGTAGATGCCATTCCCGTACCACCCAACGTCAGTGGATTCTTCGAAGTAGGGATGATCTGAAAACGTATAGTTTCTGCAAATGTAACTTGGTCCTTTTTAGGAAGAAACCAAATCTCTCATTTCACTTATTCTGTTATGTATATATTTTTCACTAATAACCGCAGATTAGAGGAATATAATTTGAAAACACTTTAGTGATTTGATAGTTCTGTGTGAGTGAGTATGGTTTTTTGCCGTTTTTAGCAATTTTCAACTAATATTACGGCAGGGCACACATTAACACATTGTACCCATGTTGGGAATCGAACCCGGGTCTTCAGCATGATGAGCGATCGATTTAACCACTAGGCTACCCCACTGCCCCTGACGTAGTTATGAGCTGTCGGTATACACTTTGAAGTCACGCATATCTAAATTGTAGGTATTTACTTTTACTTTGTAACGAGCTTAAACTTCCATTCAGGTTGCTCCTATGTATATGAAAGTTCAAACTTCAGTGAGGGGAAGTGAATTCTCAATTTTGATAGATGCTAATTTCTCAGGTCTTATTTGAATGTATAAATGTTTTCTAACATATTCCAAATATTGAAAAATTCAAAAGACGTTTACAATAAAAACATGTCTTCGTCCACTATTTTCCACAGCTGATCGCAATGAACAAACCTATTTGCCGGAATCCTTCACGACAGATACTTTTAATATTATCTTCGGCAGTTCCATGAAAACCAAGAACGTGATTCTCAAATCCGGTTTGCTTCTTAGCCATCCGTCGTTGCGCTGCTCTGAAAGAACACACACTCAATGTTGTGCCTCTGACTCAATCATGGTCATACATTTACTACATACATGTGAAAAAGGCCAAACCTTTCAAAAGCTACTATGATTCCTTTTCCTCTGTGTGTGGCATCGTATTTATACCGTTGAACACATTTATTCGTGCTTACCTAAATTGCTTCACAAGTGCAGGGTTCACCACATATTCGACCTTTGTCAATTTGAATGTGTGTCTGAAACATGAAAATAGTGAACGTTACGTTGGCAAAATAAATTGACGGGAAATAGTTCTAATAATAAATATATATTTAAATGTATTCACAAAGAAACATTTGCTTCCTGCTGCAGATTTACTTAAACATATACATTTAGCAAAGTGACGTCGCTGGTATTTTGATGTATCTGATGTGTAAGAAAATATACATGGAACATCATCATCAATCTAGCAGGTGATGATTGCTGTAATTACACATAGACACTGTGTCAGTTTCACACTGGAAACTACAGTTAGATGTAATCTGGAAATAGGGGCCAGATCTCTAAAACTAAAATTTTATTTTCATCACAAATACAAGGATTCTTGAGGACTTTTTTATCAGTCGCTATGAGCGGCGCAAATTTGCCAGCGTGCTTTCACAAACATAACATTTCATTCTTTCATTAACCTATAAAACTCTGCCCTCAACATTATATATTTTATCTCACCCTCAGTCAGTGACCACCATCAGATACATCGACTTGGTTCTTGTAAACAAAAGCAACAAAAGACCCGTGAAGATCCGGGATAGAATAGGTCTTCAGCAACCCATGCTTGCTGTAAAAGGCGACTTTGCTTGTCATAAGAGGCGACTAACGGGATTGGGTGGTCAGCCTCGCAGACTTGGTTGATGCATGTTATCGCATCCCAATTGCGTGGGTCGATGATCATGATGTCTATCACTGGATTGTCTGGTCTAGATTCGTTTATTTACAGACCGCTGTCATATAGCTGTAATATTGCTGAGTGCGGCGTTATACAACAAACACACAAACAAACTAAGAGACAAAAGCGACAAAACCAATTTCATATTCACAACAAATTTCTGCCCTAAGCAGAGTTCATTGGAAATTCTCATGGAAAGAACATGCCTTATCGATTTTGTATGAACAGATCTAAATATGAAAGCGATGACGCGTTTCTATTTCAAAGGAGTAAATCAGTGGAAGGGCATTGTCTATTTCATCATTATTATTATTATTATTATTATTATTATTATTATTATTATTGAACGAAATCAGATCATCCCTATACCCAAGGCTTAAGTTCAACCTCTTGGCCAAATTACCTTGCGAATCCGAGCAAACGGTATCAGAATGTAAAATAGTTTTTTTTCGTGTGTGCAAACAAAAGAAGAATTCAGAGCCGACTATTGAATCCTTAGCATCGTATGTTCAGAAACCGGTAGTCAATTAAGTTTCCACCTGTCACATCAATGAATCGAGTCAAATTGATATACTATTTATCCATATAAAACATTGCTGTATGTTTATCAAAAGGGTTATCTATTGACACCCCAATTGTATTCTATCGGTTACCACCTGGTTACCTGTTGACACTGTCTTTCGATAGGAAGCTGAAGAACTGAGACTCGACCACACTGTAATGGCTGTACTCTGGCGTGTCGCGAAGAACGGGATTGTTTGTCAGCTCAAAGTACTTGACTTTCGTTCCTTCCAAAGCTGCTTTTTCTCCAGTGACATATGGTGTCTTGCTGAAGGGATGCTGTTAGTCGTAGTTTTGGAAATTTTAGATTAGCTATGCATGGAAGGAAGGTATCATAGATTGTGAATATTAGTTGGTCACATATACTCGGAAAACAAGTCAGAAAAAAGACACTGAAACATTATTCAAACTATTAAACTAGTGTGTACTTTAGCATTGGACATAACGTCATATATAAGTGAATTAGGCGACTGTTGGTCATATGGATAATTTGCTACGCCCATAGAATGCTGGCACGAAGTTATGTGACTATGTGGGATAGATGGCGTCCATGGCTGGACAAATAAAAGCCACAACATGGAACACTCCTGCCTGGTCACTAATTCAGACCAATACCATGATCACCAAACCATTCCATGAAGCGCTCTTCAACACAACTCTCTTCATTCATCAGCGTACACCCCTTACTCTAACTGCTGTGGAACTACAGTATCAACTCTCATTTGAGAAACGGATCCTTTTCCTCTGCTACTTGTGCCAGTTGCGACGTTTCATAGAACAATGCAGTCTATTTTGACGATGGCGAGTTTTTTGGATGCCACCAGATGCAAGACGTCAAAAAACTGAGCATAAGCAACACTTCCAGTTGATGATTTGGAAATTCAAATCCTTCGAAGCATTTCTCATTGTCAGTTGATGATTCGAGACAGTTCATTGTCGTTTTGGGGCCTGTTAGATATGTGTAGAAGTGACGCTAAACACGTCCATATGTTCTGTTATTGTCCCCTTCCTTATCCCATGCGCAGGTTAGGGAAATGGGGTCTTACCTCAGACAGTTCAATATAAGCTAGCAGGGGAAAGTAACCATGCTGCATTTATAGTTGTGTAAATGTGATATTATATGGTAAATAATAACGTAATATTTGGTCATTCGTCTGATTGATGGCCGTGACCAATGACCGTGAGAGGCAGCTTGACTCCTGAGGGTTTCTAGGGCTCCGATCTTGACCCACACTTAAGGACATGTAGGACATGTGGTGTCTCCTTAGTCAAGTGACTTTGTTCCAAATGTGCCTTTGTTCACCCAGCAGTGAATGTGTACCTGGTGTGATGAGATGTTAACCTTCTAGCGGCTCACAGGCACATTGGGCGTATTTGGGCGTATTGCTGGACGTTGGAGCCACATGTTGAGCTCTATTGATACACCAACCGAATATGGTTGTCTTGTTGACGTGACGTCACGCTTGGACGACCGGCCCTTGGAATGTTAGCCGTTGCCCTGATATAGATAACGTCACCAAAGAGATGATATTGTGATTCAAAGAACGTTTGAATGTCTGACATCTTCGTTTTTTGCCATTTCCGTTTGCAGCATACCAACGGCGCGTTGACATTGGTTTTCAGCAGGCCTAGGCATTGCGAAAGCGTTATTAACAGTTAAAGAAAACTGTTGTGATGAGCAGATGATAGCAACACAGTCATTGTGTGCTGTTCACATTTTAAGAAAAAACATGTTTGTGAGTATCATGCTCCCAACAAACATGTAAACATCCAAATTGTGCACCATGGATCAACATGCAGGTGAAATTGGTAAATCATGACCTTAAAAGAAAGATGTATTATTAATTTCAGAATATAGTTATTTTTATAGAAGTGCATACGAAGCACAGTTACTTTTTTCCGTTAGTAATAATTGAATCTCTCTAATTTTTTTCAAAGGTTATACTTACCTTCTGTCCTGAACCATAGGGATCATCCGTTCCTCTCATTGATGCTCCACCTAAATTAACAGTTGCAAGTAAAACTGTCATATCCTGATTTTTACTTTATAATTCCAACTAACTATGGATGTTATACAAAAGGTATCGGGAACAAAGATCAATTTGGCCTCCGTTCACCCAGCAGTGAATGAGATGTGAAATATAAGCCCTTTTTCATGATCATATGAAATTAAATCCAACCATATTATAAGCATGTGTTGATGGTTTTTTATCAGTTAGTGATGATACCAAGTGTAAATGTAACCTGCCCCACCTGGAGATGTAGTGGAAATGAGTCAATTTTCACTATGTGTGTCAGATATAGATACATCACCTTCCTCAAAGGTTCAGTATAATTTGTCAAAAATGAAAGCAAATTTCATCTGTAGTTTTCTGAGAAAACAATATGTGAGACACAGGACTTCCGCATTGATAATATCTGTGTAAAATTTGAGTACATCAAATTTAGGCAAGAAGTAGGCATCCCACATGGGATCATGCCGACCTTCTTACTGATCAACCCATGCTTGTCGTAAAGGGCGACTAACGGGATCGGGTGGTCAGGCTTACTGATTGGGTTGATGCATGTCATATAGCTGGAATATTGCCGAGTGCGGCGTTAAACAACAAAGTAACCAAGTCTTACTGATCAGTTTCTTTATGCAAATGAATTGGAATTTCTACTCTGATTGGCCAAAAAACAAGGATATTTGAATTCAGGTATATCAATGATCTGATATCGTTGAACAATGGTCAAAAAGCCAATTCCCTTACAATAGTATACCCACCTGAACTAGAAATATAGGAGACCATTGTCTGTTTCATATTTAGATCTATACATAAAGATTCAGAGTGACAAAAAAAAGTCTCCACAAGACTGTATGACAAGAGGGATGACTTTCCAACAGTCAACTTTCCCTTTATGTGGAGCCATATTCCAATAGCTCCAGCCTTTGGTGTCTACATTTGACATCTTTTTAGGTACAATCGAACGTGCTCTTCCTACGGAGTTTTCAGAGAGCATCATACGACTCTTGCTCAAAAGTTGTTTCATCAAGTTTACAACAGTCAAGTTCAGTAAAGCTTTCAAAACGTTTCATTGAGGACATTTCCAAATTTGACGCATTAGTGCCAAAAATGTTGTCGGATGCAATTCCCTATTTTGATTAAAACTGACTTGAATTTGGATTTGTTGGGGACGTGTGTCACCGATGAGGCAGAATATGCCCACCTTGTCGCGAACACCTGATATCATTACTGTTTGATGGTGATTAATAGACACATGCTTATGATGTAGCGGGGAATGAAAACTAAACAATACTAGAATTTGTATTTTTCTACAAAGGTGTAATTCCAAATATAGCATTTGTTACATTTGACACTTTCTAAAAGGCATTGTGTATTCATACCTTCCGCTTCTTCGATCTTGCTGACGTGCGCTTCCACAACCTGAACAAAGAAATAGAACAACAAGGCTCCGAAGTTCAACTGAATAGTATATGAAACCAGACAAGCTTTACGTGAGTATGTGAGTGCACCATACCTCACCTGGTTCAATCAGTGAAATGACGCCAGGAGTAAGCATATCCTGCTCTCCCGGTAAAACTGTGATTACATTTTGAAAAAGGCATTACAGGCTTTTTCGAATCTCTGATGGGAACACACCTGCAGTTTCTGATACCTCGTGCTATGTTAAGGGCCATTCTTCCGGTTCTTTGTTTTGGTTTGAGGGTCGTCAAAGCCATGGATGAACACATTCTTTCGGGACAGATGGGTGGCCCTGAAAATGGCCTTTGATCGTGAGAGACTAACTCCTCACCCACACAGGTGCTGTGCTGCAAAGGCACGGATGGTCTGCCACCTGTTTCCTGACAGGACACTGACTGGTGTTGCGATTGCATGTGGAGATGCCCCCACCACCACAACAACAACAAAAAAAACCTCCTCCTCCTCCTCCCTCCCGCCACCACCACCACCATTTTTTAAAAAAAGAAAAAAATGAACATCAAGGATTTTACAGGTGCTTCTTTCAACTTTGATATTTTCATATTGTACGAGCGCTTCTTATCGTCCCCCTCCTCCCCTGAAACGGATGTGCCGTCCTCTTAAAGGTGCGCACGCCCACCGGAAACGGACATGCCTCCTTCTTGGATGCGCACGCCACCGGAATGGATGTGCTGCCATCTTGGATGCGCACGCACCAACGAAACCGGAAGTGTCGTCATCACGGAAGCACACACCACCAGAACCGAAAGTGACCTTCGCGCATGCGCAGAACCTAAAGTCGTCCTGGGGTTCCGTCCTCAACTACTAATGTTCAATTTTCTATCCCATGGTGTAAAATTAATTACTTTTTATCGTAAACACATACAGTGCGATGACAAGTTTTATTTGACAGCTCTATGTAAACTGTGAGCGAAATCCGTTTTCAAATCGACGTGTAAATATCTCGTTAGTGTAGGTGCGTTTTGATGATCTGCATGGGTACAACGTGTCGCATGAAAGCGTGTCCCATTTCACACAACTCACGTCCAACATTTTGCATACGTTTGAAGTGGGTCCGACCTGCAGGTTATCACGATGCAATGAAGTTCAGTTTGAGTTAATGTGCCTGTTGCCTATCTGTGTTAAGCCTGTTGAATTAAGAATTAGACATGCTAAACTCATATATGATTAAATGTAGAACATATGCCCCCTTCCCAAAATATGCACCTTTCTTAGGCTTTCGTCTTTTGGGTGAATAACAACAGATACGGTTTCAAGGGAGGTGTTGGGATGGTTGTCTATGAAATTCTTGAATGCTGACATCATCACCATGGCTGACGCTTCTGGGGGATATCCAGCATAACCAGTTCCCAGGATTGGAAAGCTGATTGATTTGAAGCTCTGCTTTGACGCCTTTTGTGAACATTTGGTGACTATTGACGCAAAATCCTGTTGAAAAATAAATTGGATTATACAGTGAAAGTGAGTTACGAATTGATAAGAACATAATAACAAAATATTCAGCTGATACCAAAATGTCAGCGCAAGAGAATAAACAGTCTCGAGCATCTGTCCAGATTCTATAGGGCATTAACAGCAATATAGTGACAAACATTATTTGAAGGGATCACTGTAAATCAATGATAACACCAGGTGTTCGCAAAAATGGGAAGTACACTCTTCAAAAACAGAAACACACAGGTAGATTTTTCGGAAATTTATTGTACCTAATAAAGTCGATATATTTAATATCATAGATACAAATATGCAATTTTGGAGCTCGATAATCACATGTTGTCGTAGTACAAAGGCATTGAAAACTGTTCAACAGTTGAACTCATGTGACCGACCCGGGCAGCAACCACGGTTCTGCATCTCTGGAAATCTCTGCAGTCGGCACTGACTGGATAAGTGTACGAATTCTGTCCTGCGGTATTCTGCGCCATTCTGCCTGTAACGCGATGGGCAGTTTTTGAGTGTCTTCGGCGTGTTCTGACGTTGACGTACACGTTAATCGAGTTCATCCCAGAGGTGTTCGGTTGGTTTGAGATCTGGAGATCTCGACGGCCAGGGCAAGGGTTTCATATTGGCATTATGAAGGTAGTCTACCGTGACACGAGCTGTATGCGGTGGAGCGTTGTCTTGTTGAAACTGCTCCCTCTTGCAGTTAATGATTGGAAGTAGGTGAGGTTGAAGAATATGATTTAGCAATTTCCAGTTTCTCAAATTCCAAAGTTGTAAGGTATGGCACCAGTGCAAGCGTCGATGTGGATAGATGTGTTGCAAAACGCGGACGATAACTTGTCTTCTGGGTCGGATTCCAGCCTCGCGGAGATGGTTCCTGACAGTCTGGTGCCATATCCTGCTCAAATCAGGGATGCGTCCTGCAGTCTCCGTAGCATTGCAATGACGTAGGTGGAACAGTCGAATGTAGCGATCCTGTGCAGGGGTGGTAACTCCTAGTCGGCCGGTTCTCGGACGGTCAGAAGTGGAAATGTACCGTATGTATCGGTCACAAAGGCGGCAAATGGTGCTGTGGTGGACGTTGAAGTGGCGTGCAACAGAAGACTGCGATTCCCCTCTTTGAAAACGTCCTATTATGATGTTCCGAGTCTCGGCATTTTCAAACTTTGAATGACAAATTATTGGCTTATGCTTTCCTTTTTATAGCCACTACCACGAGTTACGAATGCCATAACTTGCACGTGCATTTTGCTTTTTCTGTTTTCTGAATATCTGAATATCACTGAATATTGTTTCTCTGATTTCCATCTCTGGTTTATAGTGAGTGAGTGAGTTGTGTGTAACGCCACTGCCTGTCAGCTTAATGTGGGAGGAAAGCCTCAAGTGATGCAGGTTCTAGACGTTTACTCTGGTTAATAGATGCGGTGAGGGTAATTAATTATACATAGTCATCAATACATCTGAAACAGGGGTTATTTCTTTGACAAAGTGTCAATTCTTTGGATTAACAAAAATATATAAGAATTCGTCTTGTATACAAAGAGAAACAGATTGGCTAGAAGAGGAACACAGAGACAAAAGAGCTGTAGCAACTCAACTATGATAGTCTCTCTTACGTTTGCCAACTTGAAATGAACCTCTTGAATTGGTAACCACTCTAGTGTAATAGGAATATTGCTTTTCACGTTTGTGTATAATTAATGTCTAGCTTTTAAACAAATAGTATTTGATCTGTATTTGGCAGATGTGAATCCGTTGTTTCTAATTAAAAGTTCACACAATCTTGTCACCGTTTCATTAGTAAATTACGACATATTGTTATCTTAAAATTATTAGGGTTTTTAATTCACCTCGTAACACCACAACATTTAAGCAGGTAGAATTACACCTGGGAGGCCACACCTAAGGAATATGTATGTGAGTGTTGTTTATGGGGCAAGGGGATTACCGTCAGCGTTTTCTTGTTCTTCTGTGCCCACTCTTCTAGAACGACATGGAATACTTTCTTGCATGCGAGCTTCCCACCTTGTGTCTGTACCAGTGTCCTTGCCTTTACACCCGATGGGTACTGCTGTCTGCACTCGTCTTGAAGAACCTGACCTCCAGCTTCAAGAAGAGATCCAGACACGGCACCAACGGACAGATTCAGGTCAGCCTGGGTTGTGTTGACCAGGGCATCAGCCTAGAAATTGAAGTATGTATATCACTGACCTCACTATTTCCAGTGACCTTCTGTGATATTAATGACAAACATGTTCAATCATTTATGTACTTTCATAACTTCATGTAGTTCTTTACTGCTTACTGTGAGACAAAACATAGTTTATATAGTAAATTCTTACTTACCTGTGACTCAGCAAGTAGTCCTGCAATAACCAAGACAGTCAGTCCTGCAGGCAATTGAAATTAGCTGTAATCTTGCAGACATCACTCAAGACCAACTATCGATTTTATAAGTCATGTTTCTTATTTGGGAGTTGGTGAGAGAGTAAGGTTCAACGTCGCTTTGAATAAACTAAGTGTCATTGCGTGCCAGCTTGATGTGGGAGGAGAGTGAATGGAAGCCTTAGACGTTTAATACTTTGGTAAAACCCACGCGAGGTGGTGCTGACAGACGAAGAAACAATCAGAGCGAATCTAGGATTCAAAACCAAGATCACACGTGCTTCCTCCTATTTGAAGAGTTGTTCCTGTATAAAATGTTTTACCACTTACAACATATTCCGTACTTTTCCACATAGTTCAGTGTGACTTCGTAACAGAAATAACGTTTTTGGATTAGTCCATCCTTCTCTTTCCCAACATCGTAATATATACCATTTTCCTGTTAGAGTTATTAAAAGTTTGACTTTAAATTCATCTTCTCTAAAAGTGAGGGAGTGACTGAGTGATTATTGCTAAAAGCCACATAAGCAATCTTGCAGCTATTCGCGGCGACTTCTCAAAAAGAGGGAACATCTAATAAGGAGTGAGTGAGCATGGTTTTACACCGCTTTTAGCAATATTCACAAGAAAAAATACCCATATATACAAAATATACAATTTTGTATATTTGATATTTCCAAAATATACAATTTTGTATAGTTGGTATTTCCAAAATATACAATTTTGTATATATGGTTAGATTTTACCACTGCTTCATTCAATTTCATCACCTCTTATAGAATGTTTCACATAATATGTGGTTGCAAAGTTTACTAATGATACCGAACAGTATAATTATTGCATGTGACAATAATGCTTTAATACTATTTTCATTATGACAACTATATGATGTTATGAAATAATTTGTATTTGGTTATGTTTTACAGATCTTAATAACAGTTTGATCAATATAAAATGCGTACGCCAGCAACAAGTAGTTGAAAGTAGTTTTAAACATTGATGTTTATCGTTCCAAAGCTCTGTTCTCCAGCTCAGTTCATCTTTGTTTACGAGAACGTTTTTAATATGGGCAATTTTCTTCTTTCGGGACATTGGAGCAGTCATAATATTCATAACATCATAAATATTAAGATTACAGGCAATTTTAACAACTTTAGTACTCCATGAACTTTTACATAGTAACCATTTTCTTCATCAAAGCGTTACAAGTACTGTTATTAATCTTGGGGTAGTCTAAAAACATTAGCATGTAATGTAACAAACGGGGAGGAGAGACCCATGTCTCCATTAGTGGCTATACTGGAGGTACCGTTACTAACACCAAGAAATAATTTACCGGCTCTATTGTGGATTAGATTAACGTTTTATCCTCATATACCAGAGCCATAGAACATTACCGGCTCAACAAGACTTTCATACAGTTTCATAAAAAACATCATAAGACATACACCCAACAGAATAAGACAAAGCATGGCTGGCAGAATTGTACAACTCTTTCACAGTTTCACATATCTAGATTCTCGTCAACCCGTAGTCCCAGATAACGATATGGTTCTACATAGACCAGTGTTTGCCCAGCGTAGAGGAATCTGGTTAATCTGTATCACTTAACGAGTGGTGAATAGCTTACTCTGCCCACAGTCGAGAGCAGCACAGTAATTAGTAGTTTAGACCAGGCGAATACACTGGTCACACTTGACTGGTCTGTCTGATGATTCGGTCACCTGCCAAATGGGATGTCTGACAATTGGGTGTGAACCTTACAGAGGAAGTTATTTTATGAATGCGTCACGTGTTTCAAAAGAGATGACCATTATCTAAGTAAAATACTTCTAAGATCATAAAGGACATAACATTTAATAAAGTGAAATTCATTTTCGACAAACTTTAATGAACAATTTTAAAACAGTGCGGGCAAATTCTATTTTCTAAAAGGTTTGGGGGGTTGTAAATCGTCCTGTTTCGATCCAGATCTAAAACTAGCTAAAAAGCGACGGTGGTCCCTGTATTTAAAACATAAGGAGCAACAACGTTACGATCATGAAAGTTCTTAATGTATTGCCCTTAACGTTATGTTTATCGTTCCAAAGCTCTGTTCTCCAGCTCAGTTCATCTTTGTTTACGAGAACGTTTTTAATATGGGCAATTTTCTTCTTTCGGGACATTGGAGCAGTCATAATATTCATAACATCATAAATATTAAGATTACAGGCAATTTTAACAACTTTAGTACTCCATGAACTTTTACATAGTAACCATTTTCTTCATCAAAGCGTTACAAGTACTGTTATTAATCTTGGGGTAGTCTAAAAACATTAGCATGTAATGTAACAAACGGGGAGAAGAGACCCATGTCTCCATTAGTGGCTATACTGGAGGTACCGTTACTAACACCAAGAAATAATTACGGGCTCTATTGTGGATTAGATTAATGTTTTATCCTCATATACCAGAGCCATAGATCATTACCGGCTCAACAAGACTTTCATACAGTTTCATAAAAAACATCATAAGACATACACCCAACAGAATAAGACAAAGCATGGCTGGCAGAATTGTACAACTCTTTCACAGTTTCACATATCTAGATGCTCGTCAACCCGTAGTCCCAGATAACGATATGATTCTACATAGACCAGTGTTTGCCCAGCGTAGAGGAATCTGTTTAATCTGGTTAATCTGACTGTTGGAATATTATCTATGCATTATCCCGTCTATAAATCTAGATATATTTACATTTTAGCGATAATGAAAACTGAGTAGAGATAAGATATATTGATGAACAACGTCTTTATTACAGTTAGGAGCGACGCTTAGGTGTATGTTGTAACACCATTATCAAGCAAGTGATGTTGTTCATCCACAGATCTTATCCTCTCTCAATACTCCAACTTCTAAATTCCTCGCAAAGAAGATAATGATACTTGTTTTGAATCTTTCCATCGTACAAAATATTCTTCGCACAGTATTCAAGAAACAATGTAATATTAATATATTACTACGCCATCAATATATGTTGTGCAATATTTGAGAGGTTGGCGCCTGTCGGGACGGTGTGAGATGCTAAAACTGTTTTTGTATAGTCTAGTATCCTTTGGCTAGTGACAGCTACCACTGTTTATTCCCATTCAAGTTGCTAATGGTGTTTCATCTAAACAGTATTATGGGAACGGAAATTAAAACATTACTTCATTCGTTATGCTACCATTTTTGAATATATGTCCATGAGATTAATCTGTTCATTTTTCCGTATTTTTATTACGGAACTTATAGCTTTGTGTGGCACAAACGATCAAATAGTAAGATGACTACAATTAAAGGGCATTAATAACGAGAGGCTGTTCACATATATGTACATCATATATGTATCACGCGAATCATTTCTGGTTTTACTCGACGTAAGAGCTAGAAACGTTACCTACTTCCGGCGCAGCGGTTCTAGATGTTGGCGCTATCTAGATTGGGTCCCTGACACATGCAGCCCTATTTGATGGGTGTATTGTATTAATAAGCTGAACTTTTATAAATCTATTTTTTGCAAATATATACTGGTCACTCCAACTAATCATTGTTACTAAAATATATAGGATTGTTGTCTATAACGTGTCCATTCGTATGTCTGGTTTACGTCTGTTCTACTAATTATTGACACTAAGAAACTCGTACAATTTTTTAAATCATTACTAAACGTGTTGTACTTGTCTACATCTGAATTGAAAAGTGGGAGAAAAGTTGCTTACTGTATTTTGCCGCCTTTGATGGTTCTGATGATCAAGATGACAACGTCAAAATCTAAGTGTTCAAGTGTTTATGTCCAGGCCCCCGTGACATGCAGTTGTCATGTGACATGTAATTAACTAATTGAATTGCCAAAACAATTCCGACAGCAAATAACCGCATCCACAACAACAATGCGTGGATGCAAAGAAAGAAACCATTTTAAACCCCTTTCTGTATATTTGTATTTGTATTCCTTTCTGAAACTATCATTCTACAAACAGTTGTGTTCACCGCCAATTGTGATACTTCTACTTAAGAAAATAAAAAAGGATGTTTATTTAGTCATTTGACATGCGTTCATTGTAAACAAGGATTAGTGTTAAAGGATTACTAAGTTTGTCATCCAGTATAATGCACTTCCTCGATTAGCATAATTAGAACAGAGTTTGTAATTAGTTATATCCTGACTCCAGTTAACCAAGGCAGCTACATCAGTTGTGATTTATGAATTTGTGGAATCTTAATGAAAATAACGACCGCCTGTCACAAAAATGCAAACGAACATTGAACACGCACAGTTGCAGATTTTCCTTTCGTACATTTGAGGGTGAACGTGAACGAAGCCGTGCAAGATGCTTTACAGCGATTTGTCTTCAGAACACATATTGAGCTCAGGTAAGTTTATTAATGATGATATTTTCATCCATTCATAGATATGGCGATCATGAGCGCTGACACTATATGTATTCGCAATAGAACATTTGGAAGACTAGACACAAATTGAGTCACAATATGACAACATCAAATCAAAGAATTTGTTTAATGCAACAGATTTAAGGCATTGAAATTGTACATTATTATAAAATACATGAGTGTCGCTACGTCTCATGTCAAATACATCAATGAATTCTTTATAAAAAAAATAATTTAATATTACTATGAATTTATAGCTAAAATTATGGAGTCTTGCATGTCGAGCCAACAAACTATAGTACATATTATTCACCTTGGAATTTCTGTTTACTGTGCTTGCGGTGGGGTCAACCCTATTCCCAAAATGGACAGTTCCAAATACTACTGCATAAAATATTAATGCCAATTTGGAGAAAATTACCAAATGATTGAATGCAAGTAAAACTTAATCCAGGGAAAAAGAAAACTGTTCAATATCACGTCAAAGTGTGCCCAAGTGCAAAACCTAATCTTAAAATGAAAGGACTTTGGTATTAATATTTCAGTCAGATTATGATATTGGCGAGTTAACGAGGTAAGCCCTATGATTAATTGTCTTAAATACCTTTCTGGTGTCCACCGCCGTGAACCATACTCAATCACTCAGATAAATAACCCCTTTTACATAAGTCATGAACAAGCATATATATATTGCCAATATTTTGCTCCCATGTTTTGGATAATTGTACCAAAGAAAAAGAATTAATCATAGAATGTCTACACATTAATTCATTACGGACGCTGAAATAATGCCGATGAGACGTTAATTTTTACCTCGCCCACTCACTGATTACGGACTATTTGTGGGCCAATAAGAGGTTCAAGCCACGTGAAAATGTAGAGTGAGACCAACGTAGCCATTACACCTTTTTACAAGATGGAAAACATCTTTGCTGTTAGTGATTACATATAAAGAAATCTAACCAATTCACAGGCTATACGTTGTAGAACTGAATGCAAGTCATTCCTACCTGATACCATTAATAATTGGAATAGTCACCGGAAAAAGAGGATTATTAAACTTAGACAATGTTATATTCAGTTAAGCCATGATACCAGATTTTGTCACTTTAAACTTCCATCGGCTTAAAAAACACATCTCAGATAACACATCATGCATGCTCTTGTGGCTGTCACAATGGTACACTGCATTAATTTTTACACATGCCCCAACTACAATATATTTAGAAACGATTCTATTCTAAAGGTTAAGTGAGTTTCTAATCAGTGGTTTATTGGAAACAATTTGAACAGTGCCTAATTTAGCTATTTTGAAATCGGCCATGTACATCCGACGTTCGGGTGGATTTGCACATATATAATAACTAGTAGTAAGACTTAATACATACTTTGAGACACGTATTAAGTATTAAAGAGTTAAATAACTTTTCTTAGGAAACCCCTTTCCATCAACCGCACTGTTGACCTATCTTTTTTGTTCTGTTTTGATGTATTATTTAATACAATATGTATATCTCCCCTCATCCCAATGTTAATAAAAGGAAGCTTGGTGGGGACTTTTGGGATATAAGAAATGAATACAGACTGCCATATTGTCTGAATGTCTTAACAATCACCGGGTGTGACCACGTAGACAGGATATCATTCGGGTTTCTCATAATTACTCCATGAGCATGCTTGGCATTGTAGCTTGGGGATATTAAATGTAAGTTTGTTATCAGAGGAGATTGATAGTGAACTTTTAGTACCAGTTAGATATGATATCTATATGACTTCTTTCTGTTTGACAAAGGATTAAGGGTATATGTGTGGGTAATCCTTCCATGCTGATGAAAGAAAGTCACTCTACTAGTTCATGTAATCTACGTCAAATAAGATCAGAACACATGCATTATTACAACATACTCAGGATACCAATAACAACGAAATGTACAAATTAACAAACATGATCAATATTATTATTACATGTTAATGCCATGTATGTAAATATAGCTATATAAACATATGTTTAATTTTTCAGCTTGTGTGAAGTCGTCCATAAATACAAGAAAACGTATATTTTCCCAAAATTATATTACCCTCAAAAGGGCAATTATATTCATGTTACATTTTTTCAGTCTCTTTTTTAATTCGAATGACGTAACATTTATGTTACTTTGATTTTATTAGACCCATGTTGTTGTTACAGACCCAGGGATTGACTAGGTTCATTACATGTCATAAAAGTGCCGGGACATAATATGGTGGCAATACATTCTCTAATTAACACCTGTCACAAAGGGACGGGCAATTTGGGTTTGTCCTCAGGGAATGTGTTATGCAATTTGTGTATTCACGAAATAACATTCAACAAATTATGTACATGGTCCTGTGATGTAGGATTGATGCATTCGTACTTTTTATAAATAAATGAATTGCATTTTTTTTTTAACCGTATGCGAAATACGCATAATGTCGGAAAGCGCAAGTTAAATACTGACTTCATCCCAAAATAAATCACAAACCCTCTCTTATAATTTGTATATTATTCTATATTTTAATTATGTAAATCACGTTCCTGTCACTTTTAAAGTAGAATACGTTACTCACTCAACCAATTCCATTATTATTTTCCCAAAGATCAAAGATTAAAGCAGTTATCAAGATTTATTTTCCATATCTTTAAAAATACTTAATCTTTACATTGAAACTGCCATCATGATGTATTATTATTATTATTATTATTATTTTTACTATTATTATTGATGTACATATGGTTTGCACCCAACCATGCGCGTGCCAAATTATACAGCGTCAAGCTTTTAGAGCGCCAACTAAGTTTTCCAAAGTAGAAATTAAGCCAAATGAATATATATCAAGTTTCCTTTTGCTAGAACATATGCATGCTGTTGTGTTTTTTCAAGGTAATCTTCGTTCTCGCATTGATAACAATATTTAAAGATCAAGTATTATAAAATATAATACGGGAATATATTACACACGTTATTTACGCATCCGGTTGCTCATAATACAATTTTCCCCAAGGACTACCGTTTTACAAAACGCGATTTTCCGCGTTTCCGCCGAGATTTCACATTATAACAATGTATATCTACAATGAAACCGACAGCTCAGAACAAACCAAATTCAACACTTTCAAGTAGTGATAAAATATTTTTCATCCTCTGTGCAATCCACTCTGTTGGCATATGTGCACGAGAGCATGTTACAAAACACATCGCGGCCTCCCCGTAAAACAAATCCAAGCTCAAACACTTTCAATACAGAAGTTACCGCCAAAGCAATCGCCCCCGACAGCTAATCCCCTCTGTGCATTTGACCATAAAGTCTACTCACATACCAAGCACCGCGCCAGGAAAAGTACCAGACGCCTCAACCGCCCACCCGTCAATATCATTGCAAGGACAGTATGTACTCCCGCTAACAGTGTGGAGTACTAATTAAACCCTCCAGTAATGTTACCCACCACTAAATCAGTTTTTTGTAACTTGCTGATACTATTTTGCACATACAAAACATTTATAGAGCAATACATAGCAATTATCCTCCTTTACCAACATATACAAAGAAACACAGTGCTCAACTTAAAACACTTCAATTTGCACATATATCATAATTATACACAAATGCATAATAATTATCTCCCTTTACCAATATATACAAACAAAACAAATTTGGATACACCATATATACAAATTTGTATATTTTGTATATGTCATATATACAAACTTGTATATTTTGTATATATCATCTTTCCAATCTTGTATATCCTTTGGAAATATCATCTTTCCAAAGGATATACAAGCTTGTATATATGGATTTTTTTTGCAGTGATTCCATCAATATCACGGCGGAGGACACCAGAAATGGGCTTCACACATTGTACCCATCTCGGCAATCGAACCCGGTTGTGCGGCGTGACGAGCGCACGCTTTAACCTCTAGGTTACCCGACCGCCCCATCTAATAACGATAGCTATAACAAATACTGTAATCTATTGCGTTCATTGTGTATGCTGACATTAACTGTACATACGTAAACCATACATCCAACAAACTCGAAACAAAACCCTCAATGTTTTTACTACCCATTAAAAGGAGTCTATCTTAGAAAACAAAGAAACTTATTGATATGAATCAGACTGAGACTTACTTTTATCGTGTGCTGCTTGGCTATTGAAAACTACCTCCCTAAGTTTTGTGTTGTCAAATGTTGCCGAAAGTCCCTGTCGCCTTGCTTCAAATTCCTAAAATATATTCATGTGGCAAAAACCTTAATCGTTTCAGATGATACGTGAAATAGATGTGATGGACCTTTTTCACACATTATCTGAATAAGTTGAAAAACAAGTTAAAAAGTGTAAACAAACAACACAATGACACTCGAGTTTTTGATGGGATGAGCACATGAGAATTAGGAACAGTCACAAAAAGGATGTTCGATACAACTCCCTATTCTGACTATATGTTCTCGTGTATTTGCAGCTGAACACCTTGCAGCCTTTGCATTTGCTTGTGGTGGGTGCCCCCGGTGGGCGATAAGTTTTTACCTGTTCGCCAACTAATTGAAAGTGATACATAAATACACAGCGACAAAAGTCTTCTGTTGGCAGAAATTTCTTATGATTGGAAATGTTTTTGTCGCTTTACATTTATCTTGAAGGTATTAAAAAGGGAACGATCCATAACTTTCTTCGTTAGCGATATAGATTTCTAAGAAAAGGTCAAAATATACTGCCCGACAAAAGAATATTTTATTTGATCAACAAACTACAAACGTTTTAAAAACGTTAATATGCTGAAAACAGTCGCAAAATTATTGTCCAAAACACAACTTTAAAACCCGTATCAAATACATCACCATTGAATAACCATTTTTTTTTTTTTTCATCTTTAGCCACCTTCAAACATGGGTGTATACTTTCGTTTACTCTAAAAAGGAAATAATACATGCGAAATGCCACTTCATAATGTTATGTTGCAGTAGTGTTGATTGTAAGTGGCAGCAAATTTATTGAGGCGCTCATAAAGTTCCAAGTGTTCTCTTTGCTTATGGTGACACTCCCACAGCATATCCTCGCCTTCCGTAAACCTACAAGAACCCCTGGCTTCATTCCTGCGGTTCCGGCGACCTCAAATTGCCTGCCCCTGATTTCCATTAGCCAATTTGATTTGCTACGCTACTCAGTTTAACGGACCAATCACAATGCGAGTTTCAACCAGCCTCATTGGGAGTTGGTGATATCAACAAAAACCATGGCGGCTAGTCCCATTGATTACGACTGAGTTTACGAGAAAGTCAACATTGAAAAACTGCTAGTTACAGTTGTCGATGGACTACCTGATTCTCAATCTTCACAAAGTGAGTGAGTATGGTTTTTCGCCGATTTTAGCAATATTCCCGCAATATCACGGCGGGGGACACCAGAAACGGGCTTCACACATTGTACCCATGTGGGGAATCGAACCTGGGTCTTCGGCGTGACGAGCGAACGCTTTAACCTCTAGGCTAACCGACCGCCCAGAAGACTGGTTGGTAGCACCTATTTAAGAGCGATACGAGGGCGATTCGAGGCCTTGCTTCTACGATTTGATTTGCGACTTTTCATCTTGCCCAGTGCGGAAGGGATACCTGTTTCAAGCATTCAAGAACGGAGCACGTGCCTCAATCAAAATTTTCAACTGTGACAAGTATTGGACATTTGTCAGTATTTCAATAATCCTGTGTATTTCAATATAATGTGTTGATTGTTCATTGCCCATGTGTGGTTATTTAATGATTTCATAATTTCATTCTGTACGTACAGATTTCTGGGTTAAGCTTCACGTTTCAGTTTCAACACGTAACAATACTACTCAGATACAAAAATTATGTTTAAGTTACTGCAGTTTATGAATCACAATTAAATAGTGATGATGCCAGGAATTCGCGAAAAGTCGAGCATATCCCGCCCAAAAGTGGCACCCGTCCCAAACACATGGAAAGGCAAGTCAATTGTTCACCTGAAAAAAACATAGAAACTTACAAGAACAAGTCAAAATACAAGTCTTCGTAGAAAGAGCATGCTCAGCGGAAGGGAAATGTCTATTTGACTGTAACTGAACGATATCAGATTATCGATATACCTGAAGCTTAAGTTCAACTTTGCAAGATTTCCTTGTTCTGATATAGCCAATCTGAGCAGAAATGTCGATTCACGTGCATGAAGAAACAGATCAGCAAGAATGGGAGCACGGTTGGTATCCAAGGGAATGTCTAAATTTCCTATTTTACATAGATGTTATCTTTGAGGAAATCAAGCATTTTCTGGGCACAGTACACCAATATTTTCAACTTATTAGCTCACCTTTCTCATAAGCTCATTTGATGGATGTACCACAAGCTTAACTGTTCTAAGAGTAGAATTAGTCTGCAAAAATGCTTCAACGGCAGTGATGATAATGTCAGCAGACCGATTTCCGGGGAATCTGTGAAACCCTGATCCAAGTGCAGGAAAGGCAATGGATGTAAAACCCTCCTTGGAAGCCTTTTGTAGACAATTGTAGACTACCTCCAGCAGGGTCTAGAGAACGGACAATGGTATATCAGTGATAATTTTATGCTGAACACCAAAAGAAACGCGAAATCTTCAAGTTCCTATTTAATATGGGAAAATGGTTGTGAAAACGGTTGGCTGCTATGGTTCCATTGTAATGGGCTTTAATTGTTTCAAAATGACCCTAACCAGATTTAAGGGCAGTGAACACTTAACCCGCAGCGCTCAAACGCACCGACGTGGAAGTCAGCGTGGGATGGATACGCACAAAATGCACGTGCTGCTTATGTCGCAAAAACTGTCCGTGAAGATGTTGTCTTTAAAAGCCACGAAAGTGTCACTGTGAATCATTCACTCATCAACGTCAGTGACAATGCCACGACTGTCACAGATCGATCGAGAGAGAGCTATTGGGCAACTTCAAGCTGGTGAGAGTGTTCAGAGAGTTGCAAACACCTTTAACGTCCACGCTTCCACCATCTACCGTCTGCAGGAAAGATTCCAGACAACCAACAGCACCAGAGACAGGCATCGTCCCAGCAGACCACGTGTGATAACACAACGTCAGGACCGTCACATTCACAGGTCACATCTGCAAGGACGTTTCCTGTCGGCCAGTGAAACTGCTAGTCACGTTGTTGGAAACCACGGGAGGGCTGTAAGTTCCAACACAGTAAGACGGCGACTTCGTGATAGAGGGCTTCAGTGTAGGCGACCATCACAAAGTCCTGTTCTCACTCAACGTCAACGTCACCGTCTCCTGAGACTATAGTGGGCCAAAGCACGCTTGAAATGGCGTCATCAGCAGTGGAGAAGAGTTCTGTTCTTTGATGAAAGTCGGTATTGTGTTGATCGTGCCGATGGACGTGTTACAGTATGGCGACGTCGCGGTGAGTTCTATCATGACCAGTGTTTCCTTGAACGGAACTCGTGGGGTGGTTCTAGTGTCATGGTTTGGGGTGGAATAGGGTTCAATCAGAGAACAGACCTTGTAATATTTCAGAACGTTGGAGCTGGTAGGGGCAATGGTGTCACTGCTCAGCGTTACATCGATCAGGTGTTGAGGCCCCAGGTTGTACCGTTTTTCGCAAGACATGGCAACTTCCAATTTTAACAGGATAACGCTCGTCCCCACGCCGCCAGGATTACTCAAGGCTTCTTGCAACAGCACAATATCAACACCATGCCCTGGTCGGCTCTTAGTCCTGATCTCAACCCTATTGAACACTTGTTGGATGAAGTGCAGAGACGTTTGAACATGGCGCGTCCGAGGCCAAGGACAGCTGCACAGCTCGAGGTTACCATCCTGCAGGTGTGGCGTCACATCCCCATGAACACTAACAACCGTCGTATTTACTCAATGCACAGACGGTGTGTCGCACTTGTAAATGCAAATGGGGGCCATACCAGGTATTGAGGTGTACTTCAGTATGGTCACGTGGTGTTGTGTTGATGGATACAGAAGATGTCTGATGTCCTGAGAACTGACTCTTTCTTACTGCTAATGAATTGTGTTGTATCCATCATTATTATGTTTATACCAGCTGAAACAAAATACATCATGTTTCCTATACCTTCTTGATTCGCGTTTCTTTTGGTGTTCAGTGTATATTGTCGTGAAGCTTTAGGTGAAGGTAATGATGCTCTGGGGTAGAATAGGTCTTCAGCAACCCATGCTTTCCGTAAAAGGCGACTATACTTGTCGTAAGAGGCGACTGATGGGATCGGCTGATCAAGCTCGCTGACTTGGTTGATGCATGTCGAACCCAAATGCGTAGATCGATGCTCATGATGTCAATCACTGGATTGTGTGGTCCAGACTTGCTGTCATCATACAGCTGGAATATTGCTGAGTGTGGCGTTAAACATAAACAAACAAATATTCACATCCTGTTGGCTCACAATACTACCAAATTTGTTGCTCATGGATATTTGTTCTTTCTTTTTAAGTAGCTAGTATGCCTGTCTATAAAACTGAACACATAAATTCTTAAATGCCTTTTTAGATCTGTGGTAGTAATCATGCCATATTTATAAACATCTTTTGTAAAAAAAAAGGTTCATCATTTCGACTTTAGATCTGGATGTCAGGATGTCACACATATATAAGAATATTATGAACATAATGATACCAATTCAGCTGCATCATTGTTATTCATCCACTGCCTCAACACAACGTGGAACACCTTCTGGCACTGTAGTTTCCCCCCTGTGGTCTCAGCTACGCCGCCGACTTTCAGACCAGAAGGACATGCTCTGGTCAGCTCCTCCTGCAGCCCCTTCCCTCCTGCCTCCAGGAAGGTGTAGGAGACGGTTCCAGCCAGGAGGTTGACATCAGTCCCGGTTGTGTTCACCAGGACGTCAGCCTGAAACAACGGTTGTAGGATATGCATCAAGTACAACGTCCATGCTTTAAGCTAACATCAGTCCCGGTTGTGTTCACCAGGACGTCAGCCTATCAGAGACAAGATAACATATATATAACCTTTACGTATGGCGGTAGTGCTAACATAAACAGCCAATGTATAGGTATCAGAGATGTAACGGGATGTTTGTAATGATTTGTCATCGTGTGTCACAAAGGTATATTTGTGCCTTTGTTAGGCAACGTCCGTTGACCAGTTGAAGGAACACAGATGACTTGAAAGATTTGTTTCAAAAAGTTTTAAAGATAGCGTTATGTCGCCGTATGTATTATTGCATGGAAATTAATACATATGTCTAAATGTTTCTACATTCCAAATGTGTCGCATCAGTGACATCCCCATTTTGATTTGTACCATGTGTTTGTTCAGGTGAACAACTGACTTACCTTTGCCTGTATTTGTGATGAGTACCACCAATGGGGTAGGATATTGTCACTCATTGACAATAATTTGTAAACACATCTTTATGATATCGTCGGAATCGTAAATGGAGATTTGCTGTGATTATGGAATTTGTCGCTTTTATTTATGTGAAGTTTGTGGTCATTATAATAGCAAATGAATGGTTCCTACTGTAATCGCATCATTGGACATGTTCTTAGCAGCACAGCCAATATACACAAATAAACACACGTTCATTATGAATTTGTAGGAGGTATACTAACATGCTCCTTCGCTATTTCTCCAGTTACAATACATATGGGCTGAGGCACAATCGGCAAATCTGCAACTGAAAGTACATGGTCGGAATCAAACACAAAATAACATGGAAAATACAGAAGCGTGTTAACAGAAATATTACATGTGCAATCTAACATTACAATTTTGGTTAATCTATTTAGTTTCCTTTACCTTAAGATTCTATCATCTGTGCAATGATGCTGAAAAAAGTGTTTGCCCAACCACAAAACCAATAACAGTGTCAATTCTTCGAAGTGTCAGAGGATAATTTCACAAATTGCATTTTCTGTTTATTGGGTAATTCGATTATGAACAACTTTTGTCTATTACTTTTAAGGATTGTTCAACCAGCTGGAAAAAGGGTCTTATTCAGCCCCAAACACCACTATTATTGACGAACAGATCTTAAGTATCTACAAAAAGTGTGAGCTGTTGTAAAATTATAGTAGTTACAGAAACACTTTCAACACAAGTCACAGTTAAACAAACATGGTGATTCGCTATCTGACCAACAACCTGCTTGCAGTTTTTATCTAAAAAGTGTTTTCTTTGCTCGATAAAAGGACCAGTTTTCCATGTCAGTTACGTTTTCGGAGAGCATAACTTTTTTGAATATATGCAAAGTAAATTGTTTGTGAATATTTTGCGATATTGGGATTTGAGAGCGAATGCCCGAGCACTCGACGAGTAATTACTAACGACAACACAAACAGTGCTTAATGTGCCTGTTTCAGCCCGACTCACTCATTCCAGTGACCCCTCGTCTAATATATTTCACAGGAAATGTATAATCCAATATAGACAATATTTTCAGGTATTATCCAAGATAAATTGTTGACCATATATACCTTGAAATAAGAAGAAAGGAAACAATAAAACAGTAAAATCAATAAATGATTGCATTGGAAGCCTGGTTATCACCGCATCAAAACAACATTATGTCAAAGATGGGATAAGCCGTCGTCTTTCTTGGTTTTACGCTCACAATTTACTGCCAACATGTTCTGTTGATTTTCATGTTACGTGACATTTCCACATATTGAAATCATTACAAAATTAATGTAATGCAGAAGTTGTAATGAACATTTAGCATCCATATAAACTAACTGATAATAATTACAAGGTGGGGTGATCACATCACTTGGAACTCGTGAAGCTGGTGCTTGCATGATAAAATATCTCAAAATTAAGATGTAGCAAGTTTTGAAAGAATGTTCTCATCATTGTTACAGTACAATGTACAATAATACATGAAGCGATATTTTCTTTTTAGTTTTCTTAAAACAAAAATATGTTTAGGATAAATCTTTCTTGTGAGTTTTGTAAACAATGTTATGTCAAATGTTAAAAAAGACTTGGATCTTTTATGTTATATAAAACAACATAATGAAACAAAATACAAACTCTTTTACTCTTATATATCTTAATAGTATCATTCAAATATTATTATTTCCGTTTGGTTATCAAACATTTAGTTTCCTCTTTTTTGCAAGTTCCAGGTAACTGGGGAATACTTGGAGTCAATAGAGGAACAAGGTCAGTTGATTTAAATAGTAGTATAGACGATGGGAGTACGGTGACACCCCACCCTGGACCAGCTCCTAAAATTACTTTCATGGAGGTCTTAGGCTTTACCAATTATTAAAACATCCGGATAGGGTAAGTGTAATATAAGATATATATATAGCAGCCAAGTGAACTCGAAGGAGGCCAACACCTTGCATCTGATCCCGTTTGGTCTTTTAAAATATATAACATTAGTTGATTGGTTATGAAAGAAGATGAGCCTCTTTATATTTAGAGATGGGTTTGAAGAGGATTAGTACACGAAGAGTTGCTTATGGTTCCCAGCAATACAGTATTACCTTCCTAAGTAGCTATATGCATAATCCACCTTTTTGTATCATAGGGGGATAATGATATCTTATTTATTCTTAATCCATATATCCTGTGATTGTCACTTCTTAAAGTATTCATCTAATGATTGAATGTTCTACCACTGAATAATGCTTCTTTATACTGTTCGTGTTTGACATACTGTTTTACCACATACTTCGTAACGCCTTTAGCTTTTCTTATCTCCTCATTATCAGACGCATTCATCCTTCATCTTACCTAATACCGTTTTATTTACTCTACTGTGCGATGGATTATCTTTTGGGTAATTACTTATATCATACATATCTATTTGTTTCTGCCATATCTTTATACACATCATAGGTTTACATTTACATTAACAAAGAATCGGTATATAACACCTCACATCTATCACCATATTGCCTCTTAAGTTCATTGAAACAAAAGTCATACATTAAGTGTTTTGACAAGTCAGGAATACTCATACCAACATATACAGTTCAATTTTAAAATGCTTCCCCTCATATATAACGTCACTAAATCATTATCAAATATCTTACTTCAGTTAAAATCTTGACTAGCTGTTAGTTTCCTAAGTCTTATTCCTCATGAGATCTGACCAACTTCTTTTTTGGTTCTTTTTTTCAAAACCATAAGTAGCTACATTTCTTAAATCTGTGTTCAGCCTTAAATAGGGTTCCATCCAAGGGCTTTGATCAAACTAAAAAAAATAAACAAGAGCATATCATAATCAACAAGTAGCTAGTGTAGTTCTAAACCGGTCTTTCTCAACAATGTATCCCACGAGAGTCTTGGACTGGGATAGTACCATGCTGCATCCAAGCCATATTGATTTAAACAGGCCTTTCTAAATATCACAAATACATCAGTGAGTAACAGTATATCGGTTTTCAAGAGTAGATCTTGATAATCACCAAAATTCTAACATCCTAGTTTATCCCACACATTAAGAGCATGTTAATTATCAGCATCAGTTATGTTTGATTCTGTTAAGTTACTATAGAATGGTTCAATTGGCGGTAATTTAGTTTCATCACATCTCGACTAATCATCCATATTTCGTATTGATATATACCCTTTCTCAGCAACAAGTATTGGGTTAAATTATCAGTATATCAATTTGTTATAGCAAAGTCATCGGAATTGTTTGCATTAGCTAAACTGTCCAGATAAGATAACACAAACTGTACGCTATCTATGAACCTAAGTCCATTACTTTGTTTTGTTCTCTCTTTTCAATTCGTGTTTGTATAATGTATAGTTTTAGTCGAAGAGAATGATATATATATTTCCATATTATTAGGAATATATGTTAAGCCACCATCAGTCTCAGATCCTCTAAGATTATGAAATACAATGGGGATTGGTATTGTTTGGGGATGCATTTTAAGTTTTAAGGTAGACTCATTATGAGCGGCTCCTCTGTATTGACCTGATTACCTGAAGTGTCTGATTCTGATTAATGGTACTAGGATTATTAATTATAATTGCAGACTGGTGAATTGCTTTGACTCCTTATGCTTCGCACAGTTTACGTTGTGGATTTAACTTGTGCCAATATTGTAAAGATATGGTTACATTAAATTAATGTTCTCTTACGTTTAATATAAAATATTATTATATATGATATTATTCTAGATAATCAAACAGATACTACAGCTTCAGCTGAAGAAGGAGAGATTGATGAAACCAGCTTTCAGCAAGGAATAAATATTATTGAGGAACAATAACAATCAGCTGTAAAAGATTATTACGATGCCTTAAAAGAAGGTAAAAAATATGTTACTTTTTTTGCCTTTTTTTATTCCAAGTTTAAATTAGATAGAAAAGGAATACTTCGACTGCATGGCTCTCCATATATTGATCTATTAATTCTCATACTCAGAAACCCCTAGCATTGTCTAATATATCTTCTCGTTGTGGCGGTTTCAACCTCATTCGCAATGACTTGTAGACCATTACAGCTTACAAGCAAAACTTTCTGCCAAATCCACCAAGGTTTTCAAACAGTGCAAATGGAACTTGGATTGAAGTATTAGAGAATTACTAGGCCTAGACAAGGCAATGCAAGCAATGCTAGATTCACTCATCAATTATAATAGCTCAGCTGGAAGAGATCAACAAGCATACAGCTAATGGGAGAACAAAACTTACACAAGATGAATTCAGGAGATGTCATGTTGCAGAAAGATTGCAAAAGACGAAAGATCAGACCACTTAGAAGCAGCTTCCACTACAAAATAAGCACTTTGGTCGCAAATCTGTCGAAATCGAGAAACTATTGATCAAGTTCTCAATAATAGCTCACTGGCAGAAAGAATTAAAATATTGTTCAGAGAACAGGGGATAACTTGTACAAGTATTTTAACTGCATTGGGATTTATATACTTCAGTGTGAAAGACTGAGTTTTCTGAAGTTGAGAAAAGTGATATTTTCATTGCAGTGAACATAACACTTGATATTTCACTGCAGTGAACATAACACCTGATATTTCACTGCAGTGAACATAACACATTGACGGAACTATGTTGGCCTACACGAGACAGCTCGTACACAAACTGTTGATTTACGTCAGTTCAACGTTGACAAGTCATATAATGACAGATGGTCATTTATGTAGTTAATACCGATTCTTACCGTTTGTTATTTTGTTGAAAATGATTTGTATTAAACTGTGAATTTCACTTCTGATTTGTCAGTCGATACTTTACGTTTTGCACAGCGCCATTTTGTTACTTGTATATTGCGTGTATTCTTTCGCTTCGAACAACCGTCTCATTGATTTGAAATTTGTTTTTTGATGAAGTTGATTTTGTATGTAATCATATCCAAATGTATACTGAAGAATTTTAGTGACATCAAATATTTTTGGTTACTTTTGTTTATATTTTTTAAGATTTAGCAAAGACGGAACTACATTTTTAGTCGTACTTACAGGGGGTGGAAAACCGTCCACGTGTGTTATGTAGGGAGAATTTACGCTTTGAGGTTTTACATTTTTAATGAAATAACTTAATCTTCCTGCAGACAACTACACCAAAAGTATATAATAAAAAGGATATTTCATGTGTCACATGAAATATCCTCTATATGTTGTATCAACTTTGGTTTTAGCTTTAGTTGGTGGTGGTACAGGTGGTGGTACACCAACACGACCTCACGAGTAAAAGACTGGATAAAAAAGCATTTAAAATCACTGGGAGAAGCTCTAGGAAAGCTTGTTGCATCAGCACTTTCTGGCTCTTGTATTTATTAGCTTAGACTGCAGCTTGGCTCAGTGAGCAGTTATTGTAGCAATTGCAGGACTGTATCATGTAGCCGCTAAAATCATGAGTAAACCCGCAGTGACTCCACCTACTATAAATGCTGTTTCTTCATCGGTATGTTGTTGATTTTGAGTTGCAATATGTGGAGTTTTGTTTCTCGTAAAGTTAATCACATTTTTATATGACCGTGGCTTGACTATTCCTGTTTCGCCTGTGCTTGGTTGTGTTATTATTGCAGTGTTAAGATTTGAATTTGAATTATAACCTAGTATTTGTTTATCAGTGGCAATCATAATTTTAGTATTATAACCTATCACTAGACCAATCTTAAGTTTCATGTTACTCGGTGACATATATAGACCCATATGTATTCCAAAAACATACACCATAGTCTACTTTAGAACCAGCATACTATATTACATCTTGGTATCGCTTGATTGGCCAAAGATTGATCGACAGGTGATGAAGCAACATCCTCTACATTCGCAGCAAACTGCTTTTGTGCAACAAACGCTGTAACTGCACCAATATACTTTGCACGTGTTTGCAACAGAGCTCCCACAAGAGCCCATACAAAATTTCAGATTGAGTCATAATGTCTTTCAAAGCAAGGCCGAGTAAAACCTTCCGATTTATTTCAAATGTAGAAATATATATTTGTATATATATTTGTAGAAATCATAAATGTATTGCAAATACGTTCATATGCCCGCAATAGTATGGACTATTTTATGTACTCCATGATTTAATCATGTGGTAATGATGCATTTATTTTTGCAAGGATATATCTAATATGGTAGCATGCATGAAAGACACTGAGTCTGTCAGGATGATCATGAAGAGATATACCACAGCCTGATGTAGCACACAATATAGCAAAGTTGAGCTGGTTTTGCCAGAACTGCATTTGCCTGGAGAACCAAACATGTATCGTTTTAATGTTTGTTTGGACCTTTAATTTCTAAAGATATGGGGGAATTGTCATGAAACTGGGCACAAGAGGTGTGTGAGGTCAGTTGTGTCTAAACTACTTTCAGGGTAAACCATTCCAGTCTTAAACTTGGCACTTCTTTTATAAATGCTTGTCACATTGAAGTTATAATTTGGTGTCTTTATGTATTAAATATGTATGTTACACTCCCGGGAATAAAAACTGGACAGTCTATTCAACTGTTTGGGAAACGCAGAAGGATTTGACAAACGTGGTATAGATGTCAAGTTGTATGCTTTACACTTACAAGATGACGTATACAAGCATAGAGAAGTTATACCTATAGTAGAAACTGTTGCAGCATTTAATCTAGTAGATTTTGAGTATGTTGAGATTAGCGCACTCCGTAAAAACACCTAGTAAAATCTTACCTGCACTGATGATAATACATTGATTTGATCAAAACAAAAATCGACTGGCGACTGAAAATCATCATTAACTACCATATGTGATGACAATGGGTAAGGTTCATCATTTGGGCTAATATAATCAATATTCGGATTATGCTCGGGGCTTATATTCCATCAAAACGAAAGGTGTTCATTGCGCCACTACCGGAGAAACCAGACCGTATTTTAATAAGTGAACAAGCATTCAAAGATATTAGCTTAAATTTGGTTACTGAATTCGATGATGCATTAATGAACTTGAAGGTAATACCTCAAGGCTTTACAGTTTTGATTGATTTCTTGTTTTTAGGATGCTCCATAATATTTCCTCAGAGTATTACCAGGACTCTCACTTAAATGGTTGAAAAAACATGAACGTCAACATTGTGCAATTTTATAGAACTAGGAATAGATACATTTATAACCTTTGCTGGGGTTTGCGAATGTAGCTAGGAGCATTTCACTTGCTAAGATATTTATGCCCAACAATATACATCTAATAAAGTTGAGTTATAGTCTGAAGACATTGCCAGTGAACTCTTGAAGAATGTCTGTCTGTCTGTCTGTCTGTCTGTCTGTCTGTCTGTCTGTCTGTCTGTCTGTCTGTCTGTATGGAGTTATATACTGCACTTGATCAAGGACTAGCATGGAGCTTGGTGCAGATGCTGTTGGTTTATTATAAACTATAATCGCTGCCCCATACGAACCGGCATGGAAGTAGCAGCAGGAGTCTCTGGACTGACAGAAATAGCTCTTTAATTTATTTCTCACAAGATGCAATGAAAACTTTAAAACATGATAGGATTGGTGTACTAACTGAAGCAAAGTTAAATAGCATTGAAGATCATTTAACAAAAACACTAGCTGATTGTAAGATATCTGAGTTTCATTTAGTGCTGTCAGAACTCACCAAATACAACACAATGAAACAAGAGAATAAATCAAACTCGTAAGACCAGTTTCATTAGTAAAGATGAAAAAAACAAGTTCATAGAACAGGGAAGACAACAAGCATGCCAAGTATCCCATGCCCAAGCCAGAGAACTGGTAGGAGATGAAGAAAAAATTGTTACCTCAATATAGGGTGGCATCTTGATCAACATTGATGCCATACATGACGATCATTGGATCATCATCAAATAATTGGTAAAATTTAAGCCCCGTATGGAAGCATTTTCAAGAGCTGGAACTGGTCCAGGATGGGGTGTCACCGAATCCCCATCGTCTATACTACTTACATAATTACCTGAAGGAAGTTTCTTTGCACTTGTTGACACTGGTTTTGGAGCAGGAGCTAGTAAACATAATATTTTGTGTAAAGTGGTTGCACAATTCATGTTACACAAAACATTTATCATTAATAGAGAGATGCAGCCAATATAACAGCTATGCCCATCTCACAATTTATGTCTTTGGTAGCTTATCCTCCATGTCTTGTGATCTTGTCATGACTTTCCTGTTTTGTAGTGTAGATGTCCCCAGAGTAGTGAACATAATATTCAAACATGTGACCAATGTTCTAACAATTCTATTAATGTTTCCATCCTACAAGTGTTTAGCATTTTATGATCACCCACCTGTCACTTTTTAATCTGATTGCTCTTGCCAACTTGCCCCTAATGACAAATTTGAAACCTAATTTTACTACGTTAGCACCATTGGTGCTAATGCATCCAAATCTGCTGAAATATTTCCAACTATATGGAAACTATATTCATATCAAAACTGTATATTTTCATTGGACGCTACACATTCATATCACACATGTGTACAGAAGACATGCCACAAATGTCGAAATGTAAACATGAATAAACTTAAATGAGCAGGCATATATTCACCTGGTGGCCCTTCAACTTGGAACAAAGGATCTGAAAGATAATGCATATTATACAAATACATGTATTAACAAATGGACTGGAGGAGACATGTGGTGGTTAAGATATGTTGATGTGCATATTGTAATTAGCAGACGTTTAAATAGCTCACAACCGATTCTGATTAGAAGGTGTATGATAATTTCCTGGCTGATTTTTCATTACAGTAAACTGAGGATAGACCAAAACATACAAGTTATAAAAAAACATCACATATATATTTTCCGGACATCCACCAAGTCATATCGGCATGGAAGTAGCAGCAGGAGTCTCTGGACTGACAGAAATAGCTCTTTAATTTATTTCTCGCAAGATGCAATGAAAGCTTTAAAACATGATAGGATTGGTGTACTAACTGAAACAAAGTTAAATAGCATTGAAGATCATATCTCAAAAACACTAGCTGATTGTAAAATATCTGAGTTTCATTTAGTGCTGTCAGAACTCACCAAATACAACACAATGAAACAAGAGAATAAATCAAACTCGTAAGACCAGTTTCATTAGTAAAGATGAAAAAAAACAAGTTCATAGAACAGGGAAGACAACAAGCATGCCAAATATCCCATGCCCAAGCCAGAGAAGTGGTAGGAGATGAAGAAAAAATTGTTACCTCAATATAGGGTGGCATCTTGATCAACATTGATGCCATACATGACGATCATTGGATCATCATCAAATAATTGGTAAAACTTAAGCCCCGTATGGAAGCATTTTCAAGAGCTGGAACTGGTCCAGGATGGGGTGTCACCGAATCCCCATCGTCTATACTACTTACATAATTACCTGAAGGAAGTTTCTTTGCACTTGTTGACACTGGTTTTGGAGCAGGAGCTAGTAAACATAATATTTTGTGTAAAGTGGTTGCACAATTCATGTTACACAAAACATTTATCATTAATAGAGAGATGCAGCCAATATAACAGCTATGCCCATCTCACAATTTATGTCTTTGGTAGCTTATCCTCCATGTCTTGTGATCTTGTCATGACTTTCCTGTTTCGTAGTGTAGATGTCCCCAGAGTAGTGAACATAATATTCAAACATGTGACCAATGTTCTAACAATTCTATTTAATGTTTCCATCCTACAAGTGTTTAGCATTTTATGATCACCCACCTGTCACTTTTTAATCTGATTGCTCTTGCCAACTTGCCCCTAATGACAAATTTTAAACCTAATTTTACTACGTTAGCACCATTGGTGCTAATGCATCCAAATCTGCTGAAATATTTCCAACTTTTTGGAAACTATATTCATATCAAAACTGTATACTTTCATTGGACGCTACACATTCATATCACACATGTGTACAGAAGACATGCCACAAATGTCGAAATGTAAACATGAATAAACTTAAATGATCAGGCATATATTCACCTGGTGGCCCTTCAACTTGGAACAAAGGATCTGAAAGATAATGCATATTATACAAATACATGTATTAACAAACGGACTGGAGGAGACATGTGGTGGTTAAGATATGTTGATGTGCATATTGTAATTAGCAGACGTTTAAATAGCTCACAACCGATTCTGATTAGAAGGTGTATGATAATTTCCTGGCTGATTTTTCATTACAGTAAACTGAGGATAGACCAAAACATACAAGTTATAAAAAAACATCACATATATATTTTCCGGACATCCACCAAGCCATATCGGCATGGAAGTAGCAGCAGGAGTCTCTGGACTGACAGAAATAGCTCTTTAATTTATTTCTCGCAAGATGCAATGAAAGCTTTAAAACATGATAGGATTGGTGTACTAACTGAAGCAAAGTTAAATAGCATTGAAGATCATATAACAAAAACACTAGCTGATTGTAAAATATCTGAGTTTCATTTAGTGCTGTCAGAACTCACCGAATACAACACAATGAAACAAGAGAATAAATCAAACTCGTAAGACCAGTTTCATTAGTAAAGATGAAAAAAAACAAGTTCATAGAACAGGGAAGACAACAAGCATGCCAAATATCCCATGCCCAAGCCAGAGAACTGGTAGGAGATGAAGAAAAAATTGTTACCTCAATATAGGGTGGCATCTTGATCAACATTGATGCCATACATGACTATCATTGGTTCATCATCAAATAATTGGTAAAACTTAAGCCCCGTATGGAAGCATTTTCAAGAGCTGGAACTGGTCCAGGATGGGGTGTCACCGAATCCCCATCGTCTATACTACTTACATAATTACCTGAAGGAAGTTTCTTTGCACTTGTTGACACTGGTTTTGGAGCAGGAGCTAGTAAACATAATATTTTGTGTAAAGTGGTTGCACAATTCATGTGATACAAAACATTTATCATTAATAGAGAGATGCAGCCAATATAACAGCTATGCCCATCTCACAATTTATGTCTTTGGTAGCTTATCCTCCATGTCTTGTGATCTTGTCATGACTTTCCTGTTTCGTAGTGTAGATGTCCCCAGAGTAGTGAACATAATATTCAAACATGTGACCAATGTTCTAACAATTCTATTTAATGTTTCCATCCTACAAGTGTTTAGCATTTTATGATCACCCACCTGTCACTTTTTAATCTGATTGCTCTTGCCAACTTGCCCCTAATGACAAATTTGAAACCTAATTTTACTACGTTAGCACCATTGGTGCTAATGCATCCAAATCTGCTGAAATATTTCCAACTATATGGAAACTATATTCATATCAAAACTGTATATTTTCATTGGACGCTACACATTCATATCACACATGTGTACAGAAGACATGCCACAAATGTCGAAATGTAAACATGAATAAACTTAAATGATCAGGCATATATTCACCTGGTGGCCCTTCAACTTGGAACAAAGGATCTGAAAGATAATGCATATTATACAAATACATGTATTAACAAATGGACTGGAGGAGACATGTGGTGGTTAAGATATGTTGATGTGCATATTGTAATTAGCAGACGTTTAAATAGCTCACAACCGATTCTGATAAGAAGGTGTATGATAATTTCCTGGCTGATTTTTCATTACAGTAAACTGAGGATAGACCAAAACATACAAGTTATAAAAAAAACATCACATATATATTTTCCAGACATCCACCAAGTCATATCGGCATGGAAGTAGCAGCAGGAGTCTCTGGACTGACAGAAATAGCTCTTTAATTTATTTCTCGCAAGATGCAATGAAAGCTTTAAAACATGATAGGATTGGTGTACTAACTGAAGCAAAGTTAAATAGCATTGAAGATCATATAACAAAAACACTAGCTGATTGTAAGATATCTGAGTTTCATTTAGTGCTGTCAGAACTCACCAAATACAACACAATGAAACAAGAGAATAAATCAAACTCGTAAGACCAGTTTCATTAGTAAAGATGAAAAAAACAAGTTCATAGAACAGGGAAGACAACAAGCATGCCAAGTATCCCATGCCCAAGCCAGAGAACTGGTAGGAGATGAAGAAAAAATTGTTTCCTCTATATAGGGTGGCATCTTGATCAACATTGATGCCATACATGACGATCATTGGATCATCATCAAATAATTGGTAAAACTTAAGCCCCGTATGGAAGCATTTTCAAGAGCTGGAACTGGTCCAGGATGGGGTGTCACCGCACCCCCATCGTCTATACTACTTACATAATTACCTGAAGGAAGTTTCTTTGCACTTGTTGACACTGGTTTTGGAGCAGGAGCTAGTAAACATAATATTTTGTGTAAAGTGGTTGCACAATTCATGTTACACAAAGCATTTATCATAAATAGAGAGATGCAGCCAATATAACAACTATGCCCCTTGCACAGTTTATGTCTTTGGTAACTTATCCTCCATGTCTTGTGATCTTGTCATGATTTTCCTGTTTCGTAGTGTAGATGTCCCCAGAGTAGTGAACATAATATTCAAACATGTGACCAATGTTCTAACAATTCTATTTAATGTTTCCATCCTACAAGTGTTTAGCATTTTATGATCACCCACCTGTCACTTTTTAATCTGATTGCTCTTGCCAACTTGCCCCTAATGACAAATTTGAAACCTAATTTTACTACGTTAGCACCATTGGTGCTAATGCATCCAAATCTGCTGAAATATTTCCAACTATATGGAAACTATATTCATATCAAAACTGTATATTTTCATTGGACGCTACACATTCATATCACACATGTGTACAGAAGACATGCCACAAATGTCGAAATGTAAACATGAATAAACTTAAATGATCAGGCATATATTCACCTGGTGGCCCTTCAACTTGGAACAAAGGATCTGAAAGATAATGCATATTATACAAATACATGTATTAACAAATGGACTGGAGGAGACATGTGGTGGTTAAGATATGTTGATGTGCATATTGTAATTAGCAGACGTTTAAATAGCTCACAACCGATTCTGATTAGAAGGTGTATGATAATTTCCTGGCTGATTTTTATTACAGTAAACTGAGGATAGACCAAAACATACAAGTTATAAAAAAAACATCACATATATATTTTCCGGACATCCACCAAGTCATATCGGCATGGAAGTAGCAGCAGGAGTCTCTGGACTGACAGAAATAGCTCTTTAATTTATTTCTCGCAAGATGCAATGAAAGCTTTAAAACATGATAGGATTGGTGTACTAACTGAAGCAAAGTTAAATAGCATTGAAGATCATATCTCAAAAACACTAGCTGATTGTAAGATATCTGAGTTTCATTTAGTGCTGTCAGAACTCACCGAATACAACACAATGAAACAAGAGAATAAATCAAACTCGTAAGACCAGTTTCATTAGTAAAGATGAAAAAAACAAGTTCATAGAACAGGGAAGACAACAAGCATGCCAAATATCCCATGCCCAAGCCAGAGAACTGGTAGGAGATGAAGAAAAAAATGTTTCCTCAATATAGGGTGGCACCTTGATCAACATTGATGCCATACATGACGATCATTGGATCATCATCAAATAATTGGTAAAACTTAAGCCCCGTATGGAAGCATTTTTCAAGAGCTGGAACTGGTCCAGGATGGGGTGTCACCGCACCCCCATCGTCTATACTACTTACATAATTACCTGAAGGAAGTTTCTTTGCACTTGTTGACACTGGTTTTGGAGCAGGAGCTAGTAAACATAATATTTTGTGTAAAGTGGTTGCACAATTCATGTGATACAAAACATTTATCATTAATAGAGGGATGCAGCCAATATAACAGCTATGCCCATCTCACAATTTATGTCTTTGGTAGCTTATCCTCCATGTCTTGTGATCTTGTCATGACTTTCCTGTTTCGTAGTGTAGATGTCCCCAGAGTAGTGAACATAATATTCAAACATGTGACCAATGTTCTAACAATTCTATTTAATGTTTCCATCCTACAAGTGTTTAGCATTTTATGATCACCCACCTGTCACTTTTTAATCTGATTGCTCTTGCCAACTTGCCCCTAATGACAAATTTGAAACCTAATTTTACTACGTTAGCACCATTGGTGCTAATGCATCCAAATCTGCTGAAATATTTCCAACTTTTGGAAACTATATTCATATCAAAACTGTACACTTTCATTGGACGCTACACATTCATATCACACATGTGTACAGAAGACATGCCACAAATGTCGAAATGTAAACATGAATAAACTTAAATGATCAGGCATATATTCACCTGGTGGCCCTTCAACTTGGAACAAAGGATCTGAAAGATAATGCATATTATACAAATACATGTATTAACAAATGGACTGGAGGAGACATGTGGTGGTTAAGATATGTTGATGTGCATATTGTAATTAGCAGACGTTTAAATAGCTCACAACCGATTCTGATAAGAAGGTGTATGATAATTTCCTGGCTGATTTTTCATTACAGTAAACTGAGGATAGACCAAAACATACAAGTTATAAAAAAAACATCACATATATATTTTCCAGACATCCACCAAGTCATATCGGCATGGAAGTAGCAGCAGGAGTCTCTGGACTGACAGAAATAGCTCTTTAATTTATTTCTCGCAAGATGCAATGAAAGCTTTAAAACATGATAGGATTGGTGTACTAACTGAAGCAAAGTTAAATAGCATTGAAGATCATATAACAAAAACACTAGCTGATTGTAAGATATCTGAGTTTCATTTAGTGCTGTCAGAACTCACCAAATACAACACAATGAAACAAGAGAATAAATCAAACTCGTAAGACCAGTTTCATTAGTAAAGATGAAAAAAACAAGTTCATAGAACAGGGAAGACAACAAGCATGCCAAGTATCCCATGCCCAAGCCAGAGAACTGGTAGGAGATGAAGAAAAAATTGTTTCCTCTATATAGGGTGGCATCTTGATCAACATTGATGCCATACATGACGATCATTGGATCATCATCAAATAATTGGTAAAACTTAAGCCCCGTATGGAAGCATTTTCAAGAGCTGGAACTGGTCCAGGATGGGGTGTCACCGCACCCCCATCGTCTATACTACTTACATAATTACCTGAAGGAAGTTTCTTTGCACTTGTTGACACTGGTTTTGGAGCAGGAGCTAGTAAACATAATATTTTGTGTAAAGTGGTTGCACAATTCATGTTACACAAAGCATTTATCATAAATAGAGGGATGCAGCCAATATAACAACTATGCCCCTTGCACAGTTTATGTCTTTGGTAACTTATCCTCCATGTCTTGTGATCTTGTCATGACTTTCCTGTTTCGTAGTGTAGATGTCCCCAGAGTAGTGAACATAATATTCAAACATGTGACCAATGTTCTAACAATTCTATTTAATGTTTCCATCCTACAAGTGTTTAGCATTTTATGATCACCCACCTGTCACTTTTTAATCTGATTGCTCTTGCCAACTTGCCCCTAATGACAAATTTGAAACCTAATTTTACTACGTTAGCACCATTGGTGCTAATGCATCCAAATCTGCTGAAATATTTCCAACTATATGGAAACTATATTCATATCAAAACTGTATATTTTCATTGGACGCTACACATTCATATCACACATGTGTACAGAAGACATGCCACAAATGTCGAAATGTAAACATGAATAAACTTAAATGATCAGGCATATATTCACCTGGTGGCCCTTCAACTTGGAACAAAGGATCTGAAAGATAATGCATATTATACAAATACATGTATTAACAAATGGACTGGAGGAGACATGTGGTGGTTAAGATATGTTGATGTGCATATTGTAATTAGCAGACGTTTAAATAGCTCACAACCGATTCTGATTAGAAGGTGTATGATAATTTCCTGGCTGATTTTTATTACAGTAAACTGAGGATAGACCAAAACATACAAGTTATAAAAAAAACATCACATATATATTTTCCGGACATCCACCAAGTCATATCGGCATGGAAGTAGCAGCAGGAGTCTCTGGACTGACAGAAATAGCTCTTTAATTTATTTCTCGCAAGATGCAATGAAAGCTTTAAAACATGATAGGATTGGTGTACTAACTGAAGCAAAGTTAAATAGCATTGAAGATCATATCTCAAAAACACTAGCTGATTGTAAGATATCTGAGTTTCATTTAGTGCTGTCAGAACTCACCGAATACAACACAATGAAACAAGAGAATAAATCAAACTCGTAAGACCAGTTTCATTAGTAAAGATGAAAAAAACAAGTTCATAGAACAGGGAAGACAACAAGCATGCCAAATATCCCATGCCCAAGCCAGAGAACTGGTAGGAGATGAAGAAAAAAATGTTTCCTCAATATAGGGTGGCACCTTGATCAACATTGATGCCATACATGACGATCATTGGATCATCATCAAATAATTGGTAAAACTTAAGCCCCGTATGGAAGCATTTTCAAGAGCTGGAACTGGTCCAGGATGGGGTGTCACCGCACCCCCATCGTCTATACTACTTACATAATTACCTGAAGGAAGTTTCTTTGCACTTGTTGACACTGGTTTTGGAGCAGGAGCTAGTAAACATAATATTTTGTGTAAAGTGGTTGCACAATTCATGTGATACAAAACATTTATCATTAATAGAGGGATGCAGCCAATATAACAGCTATGCCCATCTCACAATTTATGTCTTTGGTAGCTTATCCTCCATGTCTTGTGATCTTGTCATGACTTTCCTGTTTCGTAGTGTAGATGTCCCCAGAGTAGTGAACATAATATTCAAACATGTGACCAATGTTCTAACAATTCTATTTAATGTTTCCATCCTACAAGTGTTTAGCATTTTATGATCACCCACCTGTCACTTTTTAATCTGATTGCTCTTGCCAACTTGCCCCTAATGACAAATTTGAAACCTAATTTTACTACGTTAGCACCATTGGTGCTAATGCATCCAAATCTGCTGAAATATTTCCAACTATATGGAAACTATATTCATATCAAAACTGTATATTTTCATTGGACGCTACACATTCATATCACACATGTGTACAGAAGACATGCCACAAATGTCGAAATGTAAACATGAATAAACTTAAATGATCAGGCATATATTCACCTGGTGGCCCTTCAACTTGGAACAAAGGATCTGAAAGATAATGCATATTATACAAATACATGTATTAACAAATGGACTGGAGGAGACATGTGGTGGTTAAGATATGTTGATGTGCATATTGTAATTAGCAGACGTTTAAATAGCTCACAACCGATTCTGATTAGAAGGTGTATGATAATTTCCTGGCTGATTTTTATTACAGTAAACTGAGGATAGACCAAAACATACAAGTTATAAAAAAAACATCACATATATATTTTCCGGACATCCACCAAGTCATATCGGCATGGAAGTAGCAGCAGGAGTCTCTGGACTGACAGAAATAGCTCTTTAATTTATTTCTCGCAAGATGCAATGAAAGCTTTAAAACATGATAGGATTGGTGTACTAACTGAAGCAAAGTTAAATAGCATTGAAGATCATATCTCAAAAACACTAGCTGATTGTAAGATATCTGAGTTTCATTTAGTGCTGTCAGAACTCACCAAATACAACACAATGAAACAAGAGAATAAATCAAACTCGTAAGACCAGTTTCATTAGTAAAGATGAAAAAAACAAGTTCATAGAACAGGGAAGACAACAAGCATGCCAAGTATCCCATGCCCAAGCCAGAGAACTGGTAGGAGATGAAGAAAAAATTGTTTCCTCTATATAGGGTGGCATCTTGATCAACATTGATGCCATACATGACGATCATTGGATCATCATCAAATAATTGGTAAAACTTAAGCCCCGTATGGAAGCATTTTCAAGAGCTGGAACTGGTCCAGGATGGGGTGTCACCGCACCCCCATCGTCTATACTACTTACATAATTACCTGAAGGAAGTTTCTTTGCACTTGTTGACACTGGTTTTGGAGCAGGAGCTAGTAAACATAATATTTTGTGTAAAGTGGTTGCACAATTCATGTGATACAAAACATTTATCATGAATAGAGGGATGCAGCCAATATAACAGCTATGCCCATCTCACAATTTATGTCTTTGGTAGCTTATCCTCCATGTCTTGTGATCTTGTCATGACTTTCCTGTTTCGTAGTGTAGATGTCCCCAGAGTAGTGAACATAATATTCAAACATGTGACCAATGTTCTAACAATTCTATTTAATGTTTCCATCCTACAAGTGTTTAGCATTTTATGATCACCCACCTGTCACTTTTTAATCTGATTGCTCTTGCCAACTTGCCCCTAATGACAAATTTGAAACCTAATTTTACTACGTTAGCACCATTGGTGCTAATGCATCCAAATCTGCTGAAATATTTCCAACTATATGGAAACTATATTCATATCAAAACTGTATATTTTCATTGGACGCTACACATTCATATCACACATGTGTACAGAAGACATGCCACAAATGTCGAAATGTAAACATGAATAAACTCAAATGATCAGGCATATATTCACCTGGTGGCCCTTCAACTTGGAACAAAGGATCTGAAAGATAATGCATATTATACAAATACATGTATTAACAAATGGACTGGAGGAGACATGTGGTGGTTAAGATATGTTGATGTGCATATTGTAATTAGCAGACGTTTAAATAGCTCACAACCGATTCTGATTAGAAGGTGTATGATAATTTCCTGGCTGATTTTTATTACAGTAAACTGAGGATAGACCAAAACATACAAGTTATAAAAAAAACATCACATATATATTTTCCGGACATCCACCAAGTCATATCGGCATGGAAGTAGCAGCAGGAGTCTCTGGACTGACAGAAATAGCTCTTTAATTTATTTCTCGCAAGATGCAATGAAAGCTTTAAAACATGATAGGATTGGTGTACTAACTGAAGCAAAGTTAAATAGCATTGAAGATCATATCTCAAAAACACTAGCTGATTGTAAGATATCTGAGTTTCATTTAGTGCTGTCAGAACTCACCAAATACAACACAATGAAACAAGAGAATAAATCAAACTCGTAAGACCAGTTTCATTAGTAAAGATGAAAAAAACAAGTTCATAGAACAGGGAAGACAACAAGCATGCCAAGTATCCCATGCCCAAGCCAGAGAACTGGTAGGAGATGAAGAAAAAATTGTTTCCTCTATATAGGGTGGCATCTTGATCAACATTGATGCCATACATGACGATCATTGGATCATCATCAAATAATTGGTAAAACTTAAGCCCCGTATGGAAGCATTTTCAAGAGCTGGAACTGGTCCAGGATGGGGTGTCACCGCACCCCCATCGTCTATACTACTTACATAATTACCTGAAGGAAGTTTCTTTGCACTTGTTGACACTGGTTTTGGAGCAGGAGCTAGTAAACATAATATTTTGTGTAAAGTGGTTGCACAATTCATGTTACACAAAGCATTTATCATAAATAGAGGGATGCAGCCAATATAACAGCCATGCCCCTTGCACAGTTTATGTCTTTGGTAACTTATCCTCCATGTCTTGTGATCTTGTCATGACTTTCCTGTTTCGTAGTGTAGATGTCCCCAGAGTAGTGAACATAATATTCAAACATGTGACCAATGTTCTAACAATTCTATTTAATGTTTCCATCCTACAAGTGTTTAGCATTTTATGATCACCCACCTGTCACTTTTAACTCTGATTGCTCTTGCCAACTTGCCCCTAATGACAAATTTTAAACCTAATTTTACTACGTTAGCACCATTGGTGCTAATGCATCCAAGTCTGCTGAAATATTTCCAACTATATGGAAACTATATTCATATCAAAACTGTATATTTTCATTGGACGCTACACATTCATATAATACATGTGTACAGAAGACATGCCACAAATGTCGAAATGTCTTCTGTACATGGATCAACCTAAATGATCAGGCATATATTCACCTGGTGGCCCTTCAACTTGGAACAAAGGATCTGAAAGATAATGCATATTATACAAATACATATATTAGCAAATGGACTAGATGAGACATGTGGTGGTTAAGATATGTTGATGTGCATATTGTAATTAGCAGACGTTTAAATAGCTCACAATCAATTCTGATTAGAAGGTGTATGATAATTTCCTGGCTGATTTTTCATTACAGTAAACTGAGGATAGACCAAAACATACAAGTTATAAAAAAAACATCACATATATATTTTCCGGACATCCACCAAGTCCAACAAACAAATGTTGTTTTTAGATAAGGTGAGGATAAATGGAGTTTTTCAAGTTTTTCTCAGTTAGTAGTCTCATTCGTGTTGTTTTCATTTAATAACTTGAGACAAACTTCATGTCAATTCAAAAGTAAATTATTTGGAAAATAGGGTATTTCAATTTTCCTGACATTCTTTAGTGACTTGTCTTTCTTTCTTTTTCTAAATATGTTTCTCGTATTTTGGGTGTGTGTGTGTGTGTGGGGGGGGGGGGGGGGGGGGGGGGTGGAGCTTGGCATGAAAATATGTAACATAAAATAGGGGGGTCAGCTAAATATGATACAGTCGTAAGACCAATTCAACCCCTACCCCATCCCAAACACGTTAATAAATACATGATCTGTCCCCTGCAACTTTTGAAGCTTAAAGTTGAGGCCGATGCTAATGCATCCATGAATACGTTACTGCATCATTACTGCTCAGATGTTTATGATCGCAGAATGTTTTCATGTATGAGAGAAACGAAATTCTTACTTATTAAAAGTTTCTTCTTGGGCACATTAGCTTCTTTTTTAGATCCACATGAACTGCATTGGTCCAATGCATTATCACAGAAAGTGTTGCAAGACTTACACACCCACACTGAAAGTGACAAAATCAAACTCAAAGAAGTATAAGATATTTTGATGACCTCACTCATCCAACAGCAATATCAATGATAATCTTCACCAATCAAAGACACAACTGAGGAACCATATCCAGTGCCAACCTGGAAAATGCAAAACCTGGAAAGTTGTGCGACAAGAGGGACAATTTCGACTTCGTAATCGTGAATTTCCCATTCATTTCGAGCAATACGCCATCTGCACCAGCTTGAGGCATCTACATTTCTAAATGGTACAGTTATTGCACAGAGGCCCATTCCTCTTTCTAGAAGATAACAAAAGAAACAGTCTAAGACTTACTTAAGCATCAACTAGTCAATTCCCTTCAACTGATTTTAAAGGAGACCACTTTGTCTGTTTCATATTTAAATGCAGACTTTCCGCAAGACTGTATGCCAAGAGGGATGACTTTGAACTTTCCAATAGTCAACCTTTCCTTTATGTCGAGCAATTATCCCGCAGGTCCAGCCTTCATTGTCTACATTTCACAACTCTTTTATCATGCGACATCTTACAACATTCAAGGCCTCAGTTAAACTTACAAAACGTTTTATTGTAGACATGGATGACATTTCCAAATTGAACCCTCAGTGACCAAAAGGATGTCAAATACAAGTCCCTTTTTGTACCATTTGTTCCCATTGTTTTTTTCAAGTCAACAATTAACTTGCTATGCAGTCTGTTTGGGTTAAAGTTCGAAACGGATTATAATATAATATAGTAAATAAATATTGGGTTTCGTGAACATAATAATGAGATATATTTGCAAAAATGAAGATACATATGCAGTGATAGATATGGTCGGTACACACAATATGCTCAGTCAATTCGAAGACTGTATGGAAAAGACAATAGTAGATAGATAAATAGGTATGGATCTTACTTGTTTTAATCCAAAGTCAACCGGTGACCTAAAACAGTAGATAAAATAAAAAAAATATGTCTTTCAGTTCACATAACACGTTTCTCTTCAATGAAGCCTCTTTGATTCAATTGCATAAATGGACATTTTGAGACAGTGTTAATCAAGTGCAGTCAAATGTTGTGGAACTACACCGTGACCATCCAAAGTAACCAAGGCTGAATAAATCTCACAGAATGTATTTCAAATGATATGATGGCTCGACAAGAAGATACAAATATTTGAAGAATATATAGACTCGGAGACACAATATGCAGTTAAGCATTCAATAGGCAGCCCGTCATGTTGATTATTGATAACTACTGTAGATATACAAATACAACATCACACCGGCATGCATCTGTGGCCCAAAACAGTGGTAGTATTTTACTTTATCTTTACGCACCTATGATAACATAAAAGCTTGTATGAAAATAGAGATTACTACACGAGTGACTGTCAGATACAGTTGTAAACAATTGTGACAAACCCTAACACGCACCATTTTAGCATCTAATGTGTATTGTCATGATCACGGTGACGCATTAATACATAACAAAACGGCCATGAGTGACGTCATCCAGCTTACTTATTTTACCTTTTGTTACATGACCATCCACAAAAAGGTTTTTGATGATAATGAAAACTAAATGAGATCAAAGGATATTTTTTGAACACTCTAAAATGATAACGTTTCGACACAGATGTAATAATCTGACCTTTGGTCATCACCATGGAGTAGCCAATCACGGACCTAGAATTCGATCTCACACATACTTTAGCTAGTTTCATATTTTTTCAGGTAGCTTGGTGATCGTACAGGTCTTCCAGATCTTGTAAGCACTGCTTCAGGGGCTGGAATAGTAGGCTTCACTTAAATGTCTGAAATACGGACACTTGCTGGCTCTTTGGGGGTCCTTTAGTGTTAAATATCCCCCTGGCCAGTTCTTCCCAAGTGAAGTTCCGGCCTTGGTCAATATTTCAGCCGACTAATAGCCGACTAACGGGATCGGGTGGTCAGGTTGCCCGGACATCAAGTTTCCTGTTTGATGTGGTATCTAATTCACATCTGAATACTAGTAAATGTGATATTCGCAAATCAGATGGGATTAACCAACATAGTAGAGGAAGTTTTATCACTTGTAAACACATCGAGGGTATGACAAGTTCAATCGAATGACATTCGATTGTCTGCCTTTTAAAGCAGGCTGAAAATACAAGCGGGACACAACCGCAAACAACAAGGAGTGACCTGCAGAGAGACAAGTCAAGGACAAGATTTATTAGACATTTTATGACTGCTATAATGTGGCCTATATACCGATCTGATACATGAACTTACTCCGAAAGTGTTGTACAGAATGTAGCCCCTGCTCCTGAATATTGTGAAGAAAATGGAATTGGCTAAATTATACTTACTAGTGAATAAGCAGAACCTGCAAAATGTAATGAACCAAAAAAATGAGGCAAATTTCTTTAATTAGTGTTGTCAGTGTCGACAGCTAAAAGCAAAGTATGTTTGAAAGATTAACCATCTATGTTTCTTGAAGTGACATCCGCTGACATCCTGCAAGACGTGACATCCTGCAAAACACGAAAACAAGTAACGTGAAATAAGATACAAACAAAAGATAACACGATGACATGTTTTCAACACAACAGCGAAACAGCGTAAGACTCTGTCTCGACGGCGATATCCTGTTATAAGGTGTTACAACAATAATCTAACTTACCACCGGTGATGATAAATTTGTTTCAAACTGAAACGTATGGGGTAGGGACGACCTCGAGTAGGACGTGCCGCTTGTAGGAAACGTCCTGAGGTGAGCTGGAGCTCCGCTCACCTCATATATGCCTGAGCTGGAAGGTCCGCTCATCGCTGTGTTTGTGTTGTCAGAGCAGGCATTCCGCTCATTGTGCAATTGTTGTTTATTGTTTACATGTTGTGCATAAAGCGTTCCGGGACAGTGATGTCGATTTTGTTCTTTATTTCCCCAAGAGCTAATTCCCCGTGAACATGCGCATTGACAGGTTTAATGCTTTAGCGTCCAATCTACAGTAAACAGCCAACAAGTTAAACGTTAAGGCTGCCTCGGAATTATTTCAGAAACATTGCACTGAGGCCAAGTTATAATAATCAACCAAACTGCTGCTGTAACTATCAAGCCTCTGGGTATGATATACTAGCTGACAATGCTGGACTACCTGGAACTCGAGGTATTATTAACTATAGCTGCAAATGCTAGACCGCCGCATTTTGTATATGAAGTATAAAGTTAGAACAATTCGAGAGACCATTATTAGCCTGGCACTTTATTGATCATTCTCTTGAAATGTTTAAATTTTCGAGGGAGAGTACTAATATTCTCAAAGTTTTGCTGTTGAGGAACCAGTTCAGGAACAGTTAGATACGTTACAGGGGTAAGACCCAGAACTCAAAGTTCTCTCTTGGGGAGAAGCAGGCAAGGTTCCAGTTTGCTATTATTTCAAGAATATCGTTTTGAAGAGGAAATGGAGGCCCCTAGATGTACGAGGGCCATTCAATATATAACCAGCCTAAGTTTTTTATCAGATCTTAACGGTTGCATGCTTGTCACGTGCTGTGCATCAATGAATGTCACGTGCATAGACAATGTTTCACTGAGGAAATTGTATTTGAAGTCACACACATGATCTATAAGGATGGCAAGGGTAGATTCTGCCAAATTTTCATCAAAGGTTGAATACAGGGCTGTTATTAGGTACCTCTTCTTAAAAGGGAAACCGGCAAAGGAGCTACATGATGAATTGTCAGATGTTTATGGTGACAGTGCACCTTCGTATGCACAGGTCAAATTCTGGGTTGCAGAATTTAAGAGGGATCGGGTGAACTTGAAAGATGAGCCACGCCCTGGCAGGCCTGTAGAGGTGACCAATGAACAAACCAGTGCTGTGAGACAACTGGTTGTCAAAGACAGGCGAATGAAGGTGTCAGGTAAATACTGTTTTTAAGTGTACATATTATATGGCTTTCGGTCTTCCAGTGTTGAATAAATATTGATTGATTGATTGATTGGTATGATATAAATTGGCATGGAATGGCATGGCATTATATGGTATGATATTATAAGATATGATGGGACAAGCTATGAAATTGCTAATGTGGTGTGTGATATGACATGTTGAAATGTGATATAATATAGGTGTGATATATGGTACGATGGTATGTATGGTATGTTATGATATGATAATGGTATATAAAATAATACTATATAGTATGATCTTATAATGATACAATATGATATGATGGTATAGAATATGTTGTATGATATAACAAGTTGTGATATGGTAAAATAGAAATTATGAAATTACAGGGTATGCTATTGTACTGTATGTGTGAAATTATGTGACTGTGTTGAGATGTGATGTGGACTGATGTGAGGTGATTTGGTGAGATATGTACATAAATTGTATAAAATTGTATATTCTTCAAATTGTACTATAGGCCCGTGGCCTCTTCAGTACATGAAATAAAGATTGATTGATGTCGTCAGCTGCAAATAGGTTAGGCTGGTTATATATTGAATGGCCCTCGTACCTGCTGATAACGAATGGAAGGTTTTCCATAAAGTTTTCTTCCAAATTCTTATCAAAAGCATGTTTTGAGTTTGGCACATGACACTCCTTTGGCAGGTCATTTGGATGTGAACAAAACTTGTGACAAAATTCTGTTCCATATTGTTTGGCTGAATTTGCAGCATGGTGTGTCTGAATTTTGCAAAACATGCCATGTGTTTCAAATGGTTGGCAAACCTAATCAGAAAATCTCAACCTCACGTTTGAAACCCATTCCAGCTTTAGAAGAACCTTTTAGCAAGGTCATCATTGATTATGTTGGTCATTTGCCTAAAACTAAGTCAGGAAATCAGTACCTGCTTACAATCATGTGTGCTTCCACAAGGTTTCCAGAGGCTATTCCTTTACAGACAATTACAGCTCATGTTATTTGCAAGTCTTCGGTAACATTCTTCACCATGGTTGGTTTCCCTAAGACTTTACAGTCAGATCAGGACTCTAATTTCATGTCAGGCGTTTTC